GGGGGGCCAACGGATTAGTCTCGACCTGCCACAATCAACAACTGTTTTAAACAATAACTTTAGTAACCGTAGTCATATGAAAACCAAATTCTTTGTTTGACAAGCGATCTCTGACGTGTACTTGGATAGTAACTAAGACTATATCGCCAGCATAACTTTAAAATAAGGCCTTAGGTCTGTAATATGTTACTAATTTGTTTCGTTCCTCTGTTTAGGAGTTGTACCCCTTTGAGCCATTAAAAGTAAACATGGCAACAAAATGCAACGTCATTTTTTGTCAAATATGTCTGAAATTCAGTTTAATTTTGAGTTAAACTGCTTCGTCAAAGATACTGACAAAACTCAACTTTATATATGCGCTTTCCGTTAAATTCTTTCCAAGAAATTTTCGATCGTTTTTTTATAGTACTTGGAAATTTGGGAAAGAAGTTAAGAAATCTCTGTTTGTTAGTTGAAATCGGTATGCATTATAGTAATTGCATAACAGTGGCGGCACATGATAATCGATTGGAAAAATGGAGTAACTTTAAGAAGTCTCTAAACGTGCAGTTCAGCTAGTGGTTAGTATACACAATGCATTCAAGATAAACCATAAACAAAGATCTTACCGATTGTTATCTGACTGTCAACGGTGCAAATTCGTGGCCTGTAAAGCCGGCAGACTATACTGACTCTGTTTTTTTCTGATGTTGTTATCTATCAGTCCTTGAATGAATAATAGAAAGAACTTGTCGAAATTACTTTGGTCTCCTTGACTTTCGCAGCGGGAAACGTATTTGAAAGTTAACCAGGGGGTAAAGAATTCAAAACTCTTTCAAAACAAATATCTTGAAGTGCAGCACTTACTCGATCTCCGTCGCAAGCGTCACCTATCCCTCCGCCGCTAACAAACTTCGGCAATGCTATTAAAAAAGGTTTCCCTCGGTCTTAGAGGTTGAGGTTTAGCAAATTAAGAACTAATTACTTAAGTATCAGTCATAATACTGTTAGAGTTTTATCTCTAAGGGGCTTTTCCGTTCGAGTGGTTTTGAAAGAGGCCGAAGTGATACATTTTAAAATGGGTGTCAAACTGATTTGCGAGATTGAGCAAAGATGCATTGAGCCTCTTCCTTTTGATTAACCTTTTCGCTCCAAGAAGAGGCCCAAGTATAAAGACGAGAAAAATAATTTATGATTTCTTTTGTAAAATACCGACAAATAAATACAACTATGTAAGAGTTCTGGCAAAGACGTTCCATTTGAATGGTCACACCGTTATTTTTCGTCACCACGATAAAAATTTGGAAGTCAATAGAATTAACTGCATCAAAGTTGAACCCAAAAAGCTTTAATCAGCTTAGGATAGCCAGTTTCATAGCAAAGATAATTATCCGTTCTCGATCATAACAATTACTAACGTTCTGAGATATAAATAACTTTAGCCCAAGGGTAAGCTTAAAAATTCTTTACGCTAACCGGTTCTTTAATGTTTACAAATTTTTCGCAATTTCACAGCCTGAGTCCTTTTACTATACTTACCTCAAACAACTGTAGAAAATTCTTGTGTGCAGCCATTCGAAAACGGGTATATAACTCATAAATGTCTTTTCGTTTAAAATAATGCAACTCTAACTAAAATTTTGTCGTTTGGGCCAATTCAGTGAGTTGATTTTAAGGGCCTGGTAACGAGTTAACACGTTTTTTGACTAAGATCTTTTCAAGTGCTTTCGGAAACTGTGGGGCGCTGTTGCTTCTTTAAAGTTAAACCAGCCACAGCAAATTTGAATAAATGACAGCAAACCATTTCACCGTATCATCATTTATTAGCATTAACATTCACTTATGCTTATGCATTTTGATAATTTTTATTTCAAACGCTCAGCTTAACAACTTTTCCACTGTGAGTCGGCGTGAAAAAGAAATAGACCGTCTTCCTTTTTTTTTCCCTTTTAAACTAATCATTTGGTGTTACAAATGAATTCATTTTGTTTGCAATTGAACTTTCAATTCCTTGATAACCTCGAATAAGGAGTTTCAGAATATTTTACATGGATACCATGAAAGTGTCGACCTCTTTCTTTCATTCGCGACGTCGAAGTCATATTCTTCTCCCGAAGGACTTCTCATTAATGAGCTATTATTAGCCGTATTAGAACTAAATGAATTAAATTAACTAAGATTGAGTAAAAAGTCCTCTAAACGTTTGATATATGAGTTCTTCTGGCTGAGACCATGGAACGTTTCAATTCAGTTCAGTTTCCATTTTAACAAAGTCTTCAGCATCCCTGACGTCGGTATCATTATCACCTTGCAGAATCTCCGTAAGCTGTGAGATGTACGCAGCAGCTCCAATAATCACATCAAACTTTGTTGTTCTCTTCTCTGGTTCAGGAATAAGAGTCCGTAGAAGTTGAATATAGTTGTTCAGGATGTTAACGCGATTTCTTTCCCGCGCGTTGGCCTTTTTCCGTTGCTTGCTCACTCCAGTTAATCGAGGTCCACGCCGCTTCAGTCGTTTTAAAACCTTCCGACGCTTCTGGCTTTGATTCTCGGTATCACCTTGAGATGAATCTTCTGTAAGTTGCTCTTCACTTGATGACGACATTATGGCGGTTTTAAATTTGTAAAGTTTGTGCTGGGTCCTTCTTATTTTCGAAGGTTGTTTGTGGCACTCAGTGACGCGTCACGCGTTGATGAAGCAGATCTCTCTATTGAAGCTCGTGTCCAAATATGTCAAACAAAAAGCCACAATATTGTTGTGAATTCCTTCAATTTTGTTTACACTTTGATCATACAAACAGGCTTTGCCTTCGCTCGCTTGTATACGTTATTTATAGTAGTGTATACATATTTCTACACGTGGCAGCATGGTTGAAATATTCCTCCAGAGAAAGACTGTGTCAGGGTTGTTCCTTCTTGACATTGCTACCTTCAGCCGACTTTCATTCTCTGTCGGAGAATGGTACGTCTTGAGAACTTTCTTTGAGAGTGGATCGCTTATTATTCATAAAGTATTAACTGTTCAGATACTCAGTCGATCTTAGCGGGGTGCCTGACAAATTAACCCGCTATTCAGTAAAAGTTAAAGCAACTAACTTCAAACGCACGTGCACATAAAAAGGGTACTTAACAGTTTCATCAGTGGTGGTTTGAAAACAAGACTCGTGAAGCCGAAGATCTTGCAGACTTGTGATAAATTCAGTGCCTTGGAGTTGAACGCAAGTGGTGCCATAAGAGGCACGACCAGGGGTCATAGCTCGACCAATCGGTGAAACCAATGGCCGATAACAGGGAATAATAATCAAGATATTAATCACAAATGTCAATACATCGATTGATAATTGACAATCAATGACAAGCCTCTGATTATGATCGATTGTTATTGATTTTTATCTGCTCAAGAGGGTGCCTTGGATCTCCCATGAAGGCCCTCTTTTTAGAGTCAAATCAGCGACAAAAACACCTATTGTAATATCTTAGGGTCTATTTCTATATCTAGCCAGGGGCCCATGCTGGTCTGGCTGGATTTTTAAAAAACGAGCTGCCAGAAATTGCAGCCATTTTACCGCAAAAAGCTCCTGACAAGACAAAATTCTTGCATTCCTTAAGCACGAAAATCCCCCCCGGGGGGGGTACTTGGGTTAATTTTTGCTGGGTATGTGCCGCTGTCCTCTTAGAGCCCCTATCCCATTATAGTCTATTCGGTGGCCAATTATAGACCCCATCTTAGTCACTCTTTTGGGCAAATATGTAATTTTCACGATCCTATTTTAGTCACTTGTCTATATATGTACCTTATAATGAACGAAGAACACTTCACTTTCCACCTGCGGTACAAACATTCACAGAAAGTGTGCGACCCCATTGTAGTATTGAAAATGCGACCACAGATGCGGAATCCATGCTGTGGAATCCAGAATCCAATACTGTCTTAGATCCTCTTACGTTAACTCTTTAACCCAAATATCCACATACAAATTCTCCAGACTGTCCTCTTTACATTTCTTTCATGATAAGTTGAGAGGATATGATAAAAGATCAAACTCGACAAGAGAGGGGGAGCGCGGGCTCATTTTCCGAATAGACGCTGGTAATCGGGCCCAGTATAAAATATATGTTACATATTTTAGACATTTTACAATCAGGATGTTAAAATCACGTTGTCATGTATCGTCTTAATTGTCAATGGCTTTTTCTTCACTTCTTATTAAAATGAAAGCCTTAGCTTCAGATGAAGAAAGAATAAAGCGATTTTACCATGAAAATACTGCCGGTTTGGAGCACAAGCAGTGGTTTATCATATTAATCGACAGCGTAACGTTTGCTACAATGAACAGAATGAAATACAATATTGCGTAACTCTTTCGACACATATGAGTAAACGTGAGGGTTTCTTTTCTCAAGATGTAATCGAATGTCATTTTCTACCAAGGTTATGTTATTCCACGTGAAGTTGATTAGCTAAAAACATACTCAGATCATTTGCCGCCAAAATGTCCGAGGTACTTGCCAGAGGAATCTAACAAACCGTTACGTAAACTTACAAATAGTTGCACACGTGCTTTCGGGACAAGACAAGAGCTTTAAAATATTGAAGATATTTATTACTATCTTTAAACCGCTATGATATGGTTTAAACTAGCTTCGGATAATCTTCAAGGCCAATAAATACAAGTTTTTTTAGAGGTTAATCATTCTTGTGAAACTACGAAATGAAACTATCTTATAAATCATTTCATGTTTTAAGGCTAGTCGCGGCGTGAAAAAGATATTAAAGTGCTATCGTGAAAAAAGGACAGAGAAATATGATCGTTTTATTCTTAATATTTGTTTTTTCATAAACAATAAATATTATTCGGGCGGTTTATGTGTTCAGTCGGCGAGCGATAAGTATGGTTTATCTCTCACATCCACTCCACTCACAAAATGCAGGGTATCAGCTAGCAAAATAATATGAGATGCGTAATTTTTTTTCAGTAGACTTATACTTAGTCGAAACAAAATATAGCTCAGTTCTAGCCATGGCTGAAGAATGTGAAGGCTCAATCTTTGCTGAGGACAAAAAGAAGAGAAAACGTCGCGGCCCGCGTTTAACAGGAGTTAGCAAGCAACGAAGGCTGGCCAACGCCCGTGAGAGGAAGAGAGTTCAGTCGCTGAACAAGGAAATTGAAGTTTTAAAAAGTATGTTGCCTCTTTCGCCGTACGAAAAAAAACCCACAAAAACAGAGGTGATTTGGTTAGCTGCAGAGTACATTGATGAACTGACCAAGATGCTGGACAAGGCGCAGAGCGAGGAGGAAATTAACGAACCCCTCTTAGATTTCGACACTTTGTTGAGCATAGATATCGAGAAATTACTCGACTTAGACGGTAAGTATACATTGAACGAATGACCTTTAGTAGAGAAAATTGGCATTGTTTCTGCCATTGTCATAACAAAGCACTTAACCCTCTTTCTGATTGTCTTTTGAACTTTTTCGGATTTTCTGACCTATATCCAAACACAACAAACGCGTCCGATTGAGCGTCTCAATGTTTACTGTTTTTCTTTCTTAATTCTAATATCAACAGCACCCTTGTTCTGCAGACTAGCATCCTCATTCTAAGGATGTGAGATCTTGTTTGCAGGGCTTAAAGTTGTTTTCTTTTTTTTTTCCAACCCGCCTGCATTTAATTATCTTCACTAACAGAGTTGTTTTGAGCCAGAAGTATTCTAACGTATACAAGGACGGAAAAGGCAATAACACTTTCATGTAGTTTACAATGGTCATCTGTCAGTGGCTCTTATGATCTTGAGTGGGTAAACGAAAGTCTGTGTAAAGCATGTTAAGTACGCTCTTGACCGCCCTTCTCTCACTCACAGGGGGGTGGGGGATGGTTAGAAGGGGATTTAGGGGTAAAGGAGTACGCCTGTGTTAATGATCATACACTTAGGGGTAGAGGTGAATATAATACTGTCGCCTTGTTGTGAGAGTTGTAAAGCGGCATAATAATAGGTTTTCGGCTGGAATAACAGTAATGCTGAAGAGAGAGCACAAGCTTGTCTTGGTGAAAATACCCTATATTAACAGAGGATGAAACAAAACCCACCTATGACCAACCTTGAAGAAATGAAAGGAAGAGCAAAGTAATCCTCTTTGAGGGAGTTGGTTTTTATGAGATGGAAAAGCTGATTAGAATTAAAATAACATTACCCCACCCAAAATTTTTGAAGAGAGGAGTAGCTTTCTACCCCGGGCATTATCGTTCTTCTGCAACGTGGGCTATCACGCCACTTGTACATATCACCGATATTATCTGACCCAACGTCTTCGATAATGTGAGCCAAGAACACTTCAAGTTGCCAAACCAATTTATCACCATTGTTTCTTTTAATTTTCAGATTTTCCCCCAGCTGAGTTTGAATACTGACCGGCACTGGCGACAAGTTATTCAATTCTGCACGGAAAGAAATAGAACTGTGTACGTGGGGTAAAGATGTTAGCCGTATAAATTTCGTCACACCCAGATGCGTCAATTCAGCGACAAGCCAGATAATCATCATTGATTGCATTTATCACTTTATCTACACCTTTTGAAGTTGTTGTTTTAGTTTCAATTTCCGTTCGTTTCAAGTTATTGTGGCGTATATCTTTCAAGCCGATGCTATACCGACAGCATACGGTGTAGTGAAAAGGGAAAATACACCGAAAATAGATTTTTCCGTGAGAAAGGAACTTTCTTTTATGTTGAATGTAAGTTTTGACCATGATGCGTCAATATGCGATATCTCTTTTCATACGCAGAGTATATAGTTTTCTCCAGTTTCAAGTAATTATGGTAGTTAAACCCAATTTTCGGCCTGTCCGTTTAACAACAAGTTTACTCAATTCAAAGTGCCCAAACAAAGGTTCCTGAAGAGAATTCAAAGTTACACAAATTTTAATTACAAACCACAATGAAGTGAAATACTTACAGGCTACTATGAATGTACATAAAAAATGAAATTTGTTCACAACACTTAATTAAAATGGAAAAGCGCTATATTAAAGAATGTTTAAAAAAAGTAAAAGAAAGAAAATGCTTTGTTTATAGTCAAGTACACCCAACTTCCCCAACCAGGCACTCCCCTCCCCCCCCAAAAAAATATTTACAACAAATACACAAATCAACCAAACAGTTAGCTATTTGCAAACATGACCGAAGAGTTTTTTTTTAAATTTTTTTAAATTTAGAATTTAAAAATTAGGGACGAGAAAGAAACAAGTTCAGCTCAAGCAGTTGTCAGATCGAGGCGGACTTGAACCAATGACATCCGGGTTCCGGGGCACCAGGCTAACCTCCTCGTGCGTTACCGTTTTACCAAAAACAAAGGATCAATTCAGGTTTCTGGGAAACTGCCCACCTACCCCTCCCCTAAGTCAGCATTAACAATTACTTCTCACTTAGGGCAAAATGTTCGGTTAGGGGAGGGGTAGGTAGAGTGTTAAAACACTCTTTCCCTGGACTCTACGGAAAGGTCACCTGATCGACAGTGACGACATTGACTGAGGCTCACAACATGGAGAGAATAACATCAGCAACAATCACATGCGAAGTGTCCCCGACATTGCTGACCCAGTATACGTCACATGTCCCGCCTCCTCCTCAGGTACTTCGTTTTTCCCACAAAGCCCGCGAGCGCAAAATACGGGGGACTGGTAACGAAGCGCAAGGGACCAAGGGAAGAAGAAAGAAGAGAGGCTAAACAATCTCCTTCTGGTCTTCCTTTGTGCACAAATTTTCATCGAGAGAGAGAACTGCTAATTGTCCTTGCCGGGAATCACGAAAGAGTAGAACTAGATGTCTTGGGTATAATCGTAGAAGATATGTATCAAAGAGTTTTATCCTTGCAAAATGCGTACTTTTTCTTCTACTTCATGTAACTTGAAGGAAAATAAATGTGATCTGCGAGCACTTGAAAGTCTATTTGTTGTTTTCGGCGGTATGTTGAAACGTTAATGGTGAAAAAAGGTCCAATTGTGATAATTGTTTAGGTCTAGCTGAGAAATTGTGTGGTCACTAACTACAACAAACAAAATGTTAAAAGCCGACCTTACTTTAATGATCAGCACAGGACAATACTTGCATCGCTGGCTAATCTTATCAAAGTAATCGATTTTGCATCCAAGGCACTATCAGTTCCCCGTGAAAACTGGTATCTTTTCGGTTGACTTCTTAGAGTATACATCTTCATCATAAGCAATAAAGTGTCTGTCTTTGAGGGCAACAGGGCACAAATGACTTCAAACAAAAGTACAAAAGACCAATACAATAAATAACTTGCCACCAAAATAAATAGATTGGAACACGTTAGCTCCAGAAAGATCTAAAGAAAAAATAAGAGTGTGATTTTTCTGTTTAATATCAATTTTGCTGTTTTAACGATAAAGTTTCCACATAAAACCCTTAAAAATAATTGAAGCAAGTTGACAATTCAAATGTCTGTAGGGAAGGCGCACTTACATTCCTAAATATTTATATACCGTCTTCTATGTTGATTAAACATCATCCAGCAGGGGGCTTTCTTTAAGACATCCTGTGAGACTGAGAATATGCTGATAGTGCTAAATGAATACTTGAACCGTTTCACTCTTTGGAATGGCAATTACTACGCAAAATTTAAAAAATCCCTTGCGCATGCACATGTACGATTGGCGAAAGTGTCCCCACACAGACCTCTGTTCCTTTCGTTTTTGCCCTGGAGTAATTGTTATTTTTGAGAGTTAACAGTTTAAAACGACGATGCCAGTCCAAAATATGCCCTGTTATCACGACAAACAGCACCTAGCAAAAACGATTTTTTCCTTGCCCTTGTGAAAAGCTGGTGTATGTTTTTTTTAAAGTGTTCTTACTTACTTATCATACTCATTGGCTGCGTCTAAACCAGAGAAAAGTCTTAGTAAAATTTAACTTCTGAACCGTAAGCCTGATCCAAGCTGACGTCTTAAAATGGTATTCGTGTAGCACAAAGACCACAAGCACTGCGTCATAACAGCCAGACGTTCTAATGAAGACGTCTCTCGCGTTCTTTATAGTGACTAGAGACGTATCTTGTATCTACACATTGGTCATCTCCACCCATATACTTTGTCTTTGTGAGGCTTAAAATCACCATAATCGTTTTGGGTAATTTGAATTAGTAACAGTCTCAACTTGCCGATGTGGGTTTTGATGGCTGTTGGTTGGAAGAAGAATCATTTGCGCACAATGTTTAAGGGTGAATTCCCCGGGGGGAGTACTCCCTTATATAAGCCATACAGATATGTACCGCCCCATCGGCTAGGGTTTTTGGGTCGTTTTGGTCTGAAAACGGGTATGGTTTTCGAGGGAACTACGGAATGTATGAACGTATTTGTCGTTTCAATTCCAAATGAGTAAGAAAGAAAGAGAAATATGCGAATTCGAAATGGATTCAGAATAATTTTTTGTTTGCGTTCTAACGGCTAAGTAATGATAACATAATTTCTGCCTAACGGCCAGGTCTAAAAACGGGTATGGATTTTAGAGGTCTAGTCAGAAAACGGGTGTGGAAAATTACATTTTTTTGTCTGAAATCGGGTCAGGATTTGAGGAGCCGGGCAGCACACCCCCACCAAGAATTCCCAGGAGTACCCCCCCGGGTGAATTCAGAGTTTAAACTTGGTTGCTTTCTCTGAAATCAGCCAATGTCGTTATCTGCTAAGATTTGCCCTCGCTTCATATTTTGCCGAGCCTTTCGTCCAAGGGGTCTTGCTGTCTTCTCAGCTTTGTTACTAAGACATCAGTGTTTAAGTAGGTTAGTTATCCCTGCTAAGAGATCGCGCATAGTTAGGCTTTTTAAGTGAGAAGGATGATATAACTGATGCAACGAAAAGAAATTAAAGTACAAGAATCTGTGAATACTGTAAAGATTTAGTGCTCTGCTTATTTAACGCTTCAGTACGGCGAAATAAGCAGTCAGTAATTCTCACTACACCGGAAATACATTCCCGATTTGCAATTATTCCGGTGCATTTTAAAATCGATCTATGATTATAAAATCTTAAGCCTCAAGATCAATAATTATATATTCTGGTTAATACAGCTAAGCTTATCAGTCTTAAGTTACTGAGTCGTGCATCAGAAGTGTCTTCAGAATAATCTGTTACATTGGTGATATTTTTCTATGGCTCGACCTTTTAATCAATTTATTATACACTGCTTAATTAAAAAACTAGTTTGTACATTAATTTCCATCTCCTTACTTAGTTTCAGGTAAGGTCATTGATTTAAAAATCTTGTAATAGGTCTAATAGATAAGTGCGTCAGTACGTAAGAAAGTGTCCCCAGTTAGCTAACTGTTAACCTAAAACATTGAAACGAAGTAAAATCATTATTATTATTATTATTACTTGATTGATAGACATGATTACAAAGTATAAGGTTCTACCTATTTTCAAGAAAGAATGTAGCTTAGACCAAGTGCAGGTCAATTTAAAGGCTATTTATGGATCATTACCAAACAACTGATTTATTCACTCTGAAAATAAGTCTCCCAGAGACTCTGTGGGATGTCCCTTCGCATTGTTCTCAATCCCAAATCAAGTATATTGAACAAAAAAAAAACAACACAAGTCAGTACAAGGGTTATCGATCGTTGATTTTATAACAAAATTCGAGATGCGATAGATATCGCTGTTATCTGATCAACATGTTATTTATGGCCAGTTTTGTCGAACTATTTCTTAATCAGTGATTGATTTTGCGCAGTAAGAATAATAAAAACAACCCTCCCCCCCCCCGAATGCAAATAAACGCTTTCGATACTTTTCAATTAACTGCGTCATTACAGCAATCAAAAAACTAGTTAAATAATTACACATATCTCGAACGTTGTTCCCTGCCCAGAGGCATTATCAGTTGTGGGGTTAAGTTTAATAACTCATTTATTGTATTATTATTGTATTCGGATAACCTTGCATTCCTTTTAAGACAAAAATTACGTAATGTGTGACCGTATTTTGGCCCCTTTTTGTTCTCCGATTGTTCACTCGAATTGGATTTTAGAAAGAGGAAAATTGAACAACAGTTATGTGAAATACGTCAAGTTACACTCTGTTCAAATAAATTACAGTATGCCTGACTGGAGGCTTATAGAAGCCATGTCATTAAAGTTAACACCCAAGACAGCATTCTCTAAGTGGTCTAATATACAACTTTCAATATCTTTTATTGACAATTGTTAAACGTACATCTACCCATGAATTGTACCCGTTTTTGCTAAACCTCTCTTATGAATTCCAAATAGGACAAAATAGAGTTAGGTTACTCCTACGTCTTCCTTTTTTGATCGTCGAAGACGTCTATATGGTCAGTATTCTTATAACGTACGTATGTACATACACACTTAATTGCTTGCTGCTTTAAGTACTCTAATAAATTGCGATATGTGTCTTTTTTTGACGTTTCCTAAAACGTAATTCACACTTGAATATCAAGTAAAAAATAGACGGAGACGATTTTCATGGGCAAGCCCCACAAGGTAATTTTGACTGAAATTATCGTTGTTAACCTATGCAAAAAGTCGATATTTATTTGATGACCTTAACAATTAACTTATGACAACTGCATTAAATTTGCATTACTCGTTATCAACATATTAGATGTTGTTCTAACTGAAGCTAAGCTATGAGGCAAAGTCTCTCTCTCAGTTCTTCAAATGTTGTGTTTGATATTTCTAATTATAGGCTCCGTTCTTGTCCGGCTCAGAAAGACAATGGGGCACATTCTGTAAAAAAAAGAAATTAAAGTTTTCTGTCATTTAATCAATCATAGTTGTCGTAGACAATTAAACCATTGAACATCCGACAACGATAGAAGTGTTCTTCTGCTAGATTAGTTGGTTTTTCCAACCACCTAAATTAGATTAGAAATTTTGATTAATTGACAAAACAATTTTGATTGATTTTTCGTCTTTTTACAGCGTAAATCGGCGAGACACGCACGACCGCATTCTCAAAGAAGACGAAGACAAATATTTGTGGCAGCAAAAGAGCAGTCCGTTAACTAGAATGCACCGGTCCTCAACGAAATTCCATTCATCAGATAGAAAGAACTAGATTGAACAACTGAAGAACTATGGGATTCTTTCATTTATCGCAGTAGTACACCATGAACAATCATGAGTTTTATGTACAGCAAGAAGCACCCCGTAGGCAGCGCACTGTGGAAACGATAAATAAAATTGTTTATGATTTTGGGAAATTCTTCAGCGTCATTGCTCCTGAGATCGGTAATTTTTTTCAATTCGGGGTGATTGGGAAGAGAAATTCACAAGGCTAGTTTGCAGTAAAATATTTAAAAAATTGTTTTTCCTAAAGAGTTATGATATGAGCCATTACTTCCTAAGCCGGCTTCCTAGGGTTTAAACCAAGATTACAAAACAGTTGAAGCAAGCAGAAGACGTTCTTTGACAAAAGTTTGACGCCCCTTCATTTACGGCCAATCCTACTCATGAACCACTGGCACTTCAATTCCTTGTCTATCGTAGTTGCCTTTAACTCGAGATTTATCCTAAAAAAACCTCACCTTCAAAATTAAAAAGTGGACTGCCCTCTAAACTGTCAAGACTATCAAGAGACGAGCTATCAAGAGAGTCCACATCAACCCTTTCCAGCTCAGCTTGCCATCTATCAGCGGTTTCCAGCATTTTTGTCAGCTCTGTGATGTAGTCAACTGCAAGCCAAATCACTTCGGTCTTGGAAGGTTCCCTATCTTGGGGCGGAAGAGGGATCATATGTCGTAGTATTTGGATGTTCATGTTTAAGATTTCCACTCGTCGCCTTTCTCTAGCATTAGCTACTCGCCTCTGCTTGCTTACGCCCGTGAGTCGCGGTCCTCGTCGCCGAGGTTTCTTCTTGGGCTGGGCTACCGCTTTGCCAACGGGTGCAACGTCCATTTCGGACCTGAGCTGGGTTAAATCTGTGTTTATCGAAAGCTACAGCAGCATATCAACACATCTACACGGGATAAAAGATTTGGACACACGTGGATACACTGATACGGGTCTTTTGACTCAATACAAAGCAATAAACTCGGTGTTAAAACAAAAGCCTCCCGTGGCTATTAGACCTTGTTTCCGACTGTTTCGAGCTGTAATTTTTCTGGAGCGATTCACGAAATTTAATTGCAGTAAGCTGTGCATTCTTTTGGATTAAAAAAAAAAAAGTTTCAATTGTTTTTATTTCAGCTTGCAAGAGGTGATAATCAATCAGATCACACCTTTGCTGAGGGGACTCGTTAACACTTTAATTCTGAAAGTCTCAGGAGATAGATTAAGATTTTTTCTAAACTACTGTGCACCTTTCGTAAGCGAATGTAAGGGCCAAAATTGGCATTCATAAGTGTGTATTACGCACCCGCATTTTCGATACAGTTTGCGGCGACTTGGTATTATAAACTAATTACTAAACTAACACGATGGGTGTCCATACCCACTAAGCGTGAAGATGCGGCTTCGATCAGTACAAATGTACAGCGTGCGATTGGCAGGCTATTGGTCTTGTGTCACCAACCACGGTGATATAAGATCATAACCAACGAAATCGTGATTAAGAGTTTTAACCTTGTCGTCTATCATCGCAACAAAGTACTAAAACAAACGTTTTCTAACCCGTCGGTGTAAGAACGTGTTCTGAGGGGCGTTAATTAATTTGTTGTTAAGTAAAACCAATAATTAAGGTACTGACGACGGCTAATATCGATCATCCTGTTACAAGAAACAATGTCAACGTTAAATAATAAATTGTGTTGTGACCATGATTTTGACTACCACATATTTCAAGGCAACTATATTTAGCTGCGGACGTTTTAAAAATTTCTTCTGGTATTCGATTCGGGTGCCACGGCTATTGACACAGGGTAATTGTCTTTAAGAAGAAAACGTTATCTTGTTAATAAGATAAGCCTTTACATAATGCTTAAGTAAACAAAAAAGTCACGACATTGACAAAGATAAGAAGTACGGATAGCCAAGTGGATTTTATGTTCAACTTTTGACTAAATCATCTTAACATGCCTGGTCCCATGTAGCAAACAAGCGAAACTAAGGGTATGACACGGCCACGGTTCGCGATTGTTTATAATTTTAAAAAAATAAATTGTAAAAAATAGATCAATATAACACAGCGTGAGATGTTATAACCACTTCGTAAAATGAATGTAGCATTCTTTGCTTGTTTAAAATGAAACCCAAAAGTAGCCGCGAAAAACTCACCATAAGCATATTTTAAGAAAAAGACTGCATTAATCCTAAATATTCTTCGGTAAATCAACCTTATTTTCAAGCCAATCGTGGACAAAAACTGAATGCATAACATTTTAAACTCAAACAGGTTTCTTTACTTCTCAATTCTTCTTTTTATAGAAATAAATGTTACTCTGTATGACTTTGAAAAGAACTCAATCACCGTGCAATTGTTTGTTATTTAGGGGGCAATTTTTTGGCCTGTTCACGTCGTTTGACTAATGCTCAAACAAAACTCTACGCAGTACAAAAGCACTGCTGAAAAGATCTCAGCCTCAGTGCATTCGCACCGAGGAGAAATTTATTTAGTGATCGTGTGACCCCTTGATTTTCTGAGTCTAAAGACCGCTTCTTCGGACCAAATTGCCGGATAGTCAACCGAGTGAAATATGTTACCAACAAAATTTTGGGGTTAAGAATGCATATGTGATAATTGTCCCCAAATAATCCTTCATAGAGACAGCGTCTCAATACCTCTTCCCCTCCGTTTTTCCGTGTAGCAAACTAAACTAGAACAAAGAGAGATATAAAGAGAATAGCTCATTTTCACTTGCTTAGAACTATAAGGCCCGTGGGGTGGGGGTACTCCCTTATATAAGCCATTTAGGTATGTGCCGCCCTAAAGGGTAGGGTTTTCGCGCCGTTTTGGTCTGAAACGCGTATAGACTTTGCTCATTTTGGTCTGGAACCAGGTATGGATTTCGAGAAATTCCCTGGAGAACCCCCCGGGCTATAAGGCTACACTCGCTTATAGAACAAAATCACTGCCGTTGGCGCAGAACGGCGATCAAAAGATGGCAATTCAATTAATTTCAATTGTTCAGTTCTCGGTTAAATTAATTCAATTCAATTACTTCTTTACTTGACCCGTCGTTAATAATGCGTGCGTAGATACTCGCATAGTAACTAAAGCAAGACAAGACCATCGTTAGCAGACTTTCAAGGGAGAAAAATTAATAATTACCATTTGAAACTTATTTGACCAAATCTTAACCGACGGGTTTTTATAATTGCACTGTAATTGTTAAATGTGTCACAAAATTGGTCTGTTCAACTTCCATTTTAAAGTTCTCATGATTTAAAACACGATAAAAGTAAAAATTCTGCCAAATATCACAAAATTGTAATGAGTAAATTTTGAGAAATCGTCTTCTGCGAACCATTGCTTTTTCGCCGACATGACATGATTACCGTAAGACAGTTCTTCATATTTACGGTTAGCAAACGTACCAGAATGTTTGTACTATAGGTGAGAAGTAAAGTGTTCTTCATTCAATCTAAAAAAATGGGTCAGTTCGTAAAAATAGAAAGTGACTAAGTTGGGATCGCGAAAATTACATATTTGCCCAAAATTGACTAAGATGGGGGTCTATAATTGGTAAGAGAACAGACTATAATGGGATAGGGGCTCTGAGAGGCCAGCGGCACATACACAGCAAAAATTAACCCAAGTAACCTCCCCCCCCCCCCCCCCCCTCCGGGCTATTACCTAATGTTCCAAATCGCTTCTTTTTTTTCTTAAAAGTACTCGCCGCGAAATTCGTCGATAAAAGCATTTCTTGACAGCTAACATCGCCGATAAAACAACCGGGCCTGGTTGTGGCAGTTTTGTTTACCCGATGCTTTGTTGCTAAGCAATGAGAACACCAAACCGGTAGAAAGAGGGGAATATCATATGGCCAAAGTAAGATCACACTTCGAGGGTCTGAATGTGGTTAACCGACCAGCGACAAACGGCGAATACCGACAAAACGAGAAATAAATTACCGACTACCGACAGGAAAAATATTAACCAACGGACATGGCAAAGCAGGCATTACATTAGGTTCCATTGTAATTAAATGATTAATCTACGCGGAATGAAGAACTGTTACCCTTGTATAGCGTTTAAACTGTGTGAATTAATTAACGAACATTTATGATTAACTTGTTTTTTAATCATTAACCTAGATTTACCGACAACTGACAAAGGTCGAAAATTTTAACCGACAACCGACATGTGGACCCCCCATTCAGACCCTCCACTTCGTTTACCAATCCTCATGGAAGCCACGCGTGATTATTGGATAAGGACAAGAGAACACTCCCTGAATTAAATTATGTTATTTGTTGTTGTTTGTAGACTGAATAATACTGTGCATGTTGTTGTTGTTAATTATTGTTGAAATAATACGCTTTAAACCTGGATAGAGGTTAACCTTACAAACCAGTTTTTCAACTGCAATTGCAGTTTTTAACACCGTTACGGAAAGAATTTCTCCACCAACTCCTGACAAAAGCAGCGACCCTGACGACTTCTATCAGGGGCACCCAACGTCAATTTTCGGAAAATATCTGTTTCGAATACGATTTGAGATCTAGAATTTTCGGAACATTTGTTGTAAATCGTCTTGATTGCCTGCCTCTCTTAGGATTTTCGAACATCTAAAAAATGGTATAATTGACCATTTTTAACGGATTTTTACCCTAAAAAGGTCACCTAGAATTTTCGAGAGCCTTTTTTCTGGCTGAAATTTTCGAAAGGGTAAAGTTTGATCCCTATAATTTTCGGATCACTAGACTTTCAGCTAAGAAAGCCGAACAATTGAAGAATTTTTAGGGGATAAAAATATGCCTATATCTACCGTTTAAACACTAAAACACGTTTAACAATGCTGTTTAAGTGGTTTTGAACTATGTTCTCGTAGGGTGCCCTTGTTCTATTAACAAGCCTCATTTGCCGGCGGCGGTTTTGTGGGAAGGACCACGGATGAAGGGAAAGGAAATGTAAATGAAAGTAAGAAATGGAAAGGATAAATCGTACCTGCTAATGACAGGAAATGAGAAACAGGAGTAATTATTAACAGAAAAATTTCGTTGCATTCTGACGTCAAATAATTACAGTTCCCCATATCCGGTTGCAGCTGGAAGGTTTCAGCGGTAGCGATCGATCTAGACTATTTCACTGGAACTTAGACACACCGAGAGCCTGTTACTCTTAGTCCTGTATACTGCCTGAGTTACATTAAGCTGGGAATCCGAAAGACTTCTATTCCCTTGAAAGAGCTCTTAAGGCACTCGTTTGGGACAGGAGAGTTGAACATCTTGTTCAATTGAAATGGAGGTCGACGCATGCATCAGGAAGGTATGTCTAGCTCAAGTTCAGTTCAAAGTCTTCTCTAAACTCCGATTTGCTAGTCATTCACTTGGGTAATCAAAGATCACGACTGTTCGCTATTTTTAAAGTTGGAACTGAATTACATACAATTAGTATGTACAGGTTCTATTTATCTCAAGGAAACTGAAAGTTCAGTTTTCGCTCACTGAATCAAGATGTTACGCAGAGTCTTTCATGCATATTCATAATAAGAACAGGATGGTGTGCTCAAGTGGGCACTTGAGTTAAACCTTTGTAATTGCTTAACATAATAATCATATTAATAATTTCATCGCTTCCTTAAGGTGTTCAAGGTCATTCTCTTAACAATCCTCTGGTGTTTTGCTCTGATTCGTGGTATTATTAGAATACGTATGCAGTAGTTGTTTAGTCTGGAGTAGTGGTATTTTTACCTTTAAAAGACTGGAAATGAATGTGGGGATTAGCAAAAATGCCTCTAAACATTAAAACACCAAAATCTTGTCTCAAATGTGATATATTTTTTAACGTCACATGCTTCATCGTTCTGAGCTTCAGATATAGAAAACCATGGTTTATGTTTATGGTTTATCCCACTTCGGTTTTCCGAAAAGCTCGCGGTTAGGACGAAAGAAAATAAAAGCCGGAATGTTTTGCTTCACTCAAATAAAGTTTAAAAGCGTTTGCAGTCAGCACATAAAGAAATGCGAGCGAATCTACTAGTGGGACAAGTCAATTCGAGTGGAAACCTCTTCAGTCGAACTCCCAAGTCCTCAAGTTGACACTCATATGTTGTTCAGTTCACTTGAACTAATGAGATCAATTAATGGCATGAAAGCTCGCACTCGTTTCGATCAGCGATGTTTTTTATTCCCCGCTAATTCTTTCTAACCACTCCTTGCTTCAATTATTCGTTGATAGTCAGGGGAAGTAAGTTTACAGAATATTTTGGAGCAGATGAAAATATCACATGATAAAGGCATGCACCTCCATCATGGAATTTTCGACTGCTTTCCTTCCAATTCACGTGCCAATTGGGACAAATTCTCGTCTTCAACACCTTCCATGTATTAAAGTCAATTTGTAGCTTCTAAACTGTCGCAAACCACTAAGTCGTTTGACTAAAATTAATGACGAGACAGCCTTGCTTGCCCTCTGAGGTCTTCACAGTAATTATGTCGTCAACAACCTTTGATGTTCGGTTAGGATCTTCCCCGGGGGGTACTCCTGGGAACTTTTGGCAGGGGTGTGCCGCCCGGTTCTCCAAATCCTGACCCTATTTCAGACCAAGAAACGTCATTTTCCACACCAGGTTTTAGACCTGGCTTCTGAAATACATTCCCGTTTTAGGCCTGGTCTCCAGGAAATTATGTCATCATTACTTAGTTTAGAACGCAAACAAAACGATTTCTTAAGGCGCAAAAACCATACCCTTTGGGGCGGCACATACGTTGATGACTTATATACGGGAGTACCCCCCCCCCCGGAGATCTTCGCTTTTAGACAATGAGATAACTGATCCTGTAGTTTTGATTGGACAACTGATTGGTGGTATTGATTTCCCGTGGTTCGTCAAAAACGCCGCCAAGTATTAAAATTACAACCTCTTCCTGACTAATCACTTTATATTTTTAAATTCTGGATCTAAAATTGCGGGTTACTTTTTCATCTTGTTGAAAAGTTTTAAAGCCTAACACACCTGAAGCTGGTTTTGACACAAACCCCAGCTCGTCTCTTTAATGTTTTGTTAACGTATTTGCTTTATTTTAACTATGGAGGGATCGCGAAAAAGAAAACAACGGGCAAGGCTAGCGGACCTCAATGCTACGGATTCAGAGGATTACGACTCGTCACCCAAGCACCATGGTTCTGATGTAGAAAACGGATCAAAAAACAGCAAGAAAAAACGAAGGAGGCCGCGGCTGACAGGTCTTAGCAAGCAACGACAAGCCGCGAACGCACGCGAACGAAGTAGAACTCATAGCGTGAATTCCGCTTTCAGCGCCCTACGGGTCCTCATACCAACTGAACCCTCTGACAGAAAACTTTCAAAAATAGAGACACTTCGCCTTGCTTCGAGCTACATCGCCCATTTGGGCTCGATGCTTGTCAATGGAACACAATGTCCGAATGTTGCTAAGGTGGCTGAACATTCAGGGGAGATTTCACCATCGTCGTCCTCAAGAGTGTGTACATTTTGTTTGAGCTTACTTAAAGCGGTAAGTGATTCTTAGACACAAAATTAGAGAGTCGTCTATTCTTTTCTACAGTACCAGTGGGGAATAAAGGGGTTATCCCTGTGAAGGTCTCTTAAATTGTGGCATAATTTGCTCATAGTATAAGGAACAAAAATTGCAATTTTGCGATGGGCGAAACCGAAAAGATAACTGGAAAGCTGCGCTCATTAGCTTTTATTTGTAGATATATCGATACATTATAACGTCATTGTAAAATAGGACTTATGGTCTTTTTATAGGATTTTACCGTCAGAACATAGCTTTAGACAGCTTGAACAGCGTTTCACAAGCACGTCAGAGAATTTCATCCTCTTGGCTATAGCTTTACTCAACTAAAAGCCGTTAGAGTCAATTTGTACAGCACAGTGAACCACGCCACATTACTGCACGTAGTTTTCAATTGACAGAGTGACGAGTTACGTCCCCAGACTTAAAGTTAGAAGCACCTTGAACAACTTGCCACTTGAAGCTCTTTTCCCCTACTTTAGTCTTCCCTGAAAAAAAGGCGTGGATCTCGAAATTATCGGTCATTTTCTCTAGCATTTTCTGTGACGTAAAATTTTCCTTTACTTCGGTCCCTGTGGGTTAAAATAGTGTGGTGATGATATCTGTAAAGGTTAAGTTAAGGACCTTAAGCGCATCAAAATGTTTTCATTGCATCGCCGGTTTTTGTATAAAGCAAAGTGTGTTGTCAATTGTAGCGGATTGTTATCAGGTTAATCCCTTAAACCGCTCATGAGACAGTTTTTTGCGCGCGTTAATCTCCGTTTCGATGCAAAACGGAAATGAGAGTGTTCATTTCTAGGCAAAACCTTGGCCCAATGCTGTGTCCTGAAATGATGTTTCATCGATTCAATATGAGTGTATTTCAGCAACCGAGTCTTGGGTTCTAAGAGGTGAAGCCTTTTCCACGATATTTTAATAGGGTCAATTTCCTTCGTGTTGTGCTTTAGTTAAAAAAAAAAAAATCAACCAAACTTTGCAGCTGAAAATTCATTAGCGGCCACAAGTTATAGTTGAACAAACAAAATTGAAGAGTGGCGTGGTGCTAGTTTTACGCGATTTTTCGAAACCTCATGCGTTAGAGAGCTATGCTATAACCATCTGAACTTGCTTTCATTTGAATGGACACAGTGAGATTCAGAACGACCACCTTAGGCATTATAAATGGCACCACTGTTAAGTACTGCTCAGTAGATTTCTGATTTAAAAGGTCACAACATCAGATTTCTGATTGACCACCTTGCAAAGCACAATAAATGGTAGCGCAGGATAGTGCTGCTCTGACAGTAGTAGCTTTCGTTGTAGTGGCTACACTTCAGGATTCCATCCACAGAATCAAAAACAGTTAGAACCGACTTAAACCTACAAGAAAAAAGTTTAGAGGTGCCTCAGTGATAGTATTTTTAGAACGTTGATTGTGGCTCGCAAGTGGTCTTTTACCAGTTGACAGAAGGGGTAGGGTTGAGAATCACAATCAACAAGTTATGATTTCACTGCAGCAAATTCATGCAAAAGTATAAATCAGAAGTTCAGTGACATCATATTGCTAATATGCAAGTAGCTGTGAACAAGAGAAAAATCCCATCGGCCAATAAAATCAACTCTAGTTTCCAATTGGAAATGCCAAAAACAAATGGTGAAATGAGATTGAGGCACACTGGATGATCGTATCGCAGATCCATAAATCGGATAATCTCTGTTGTTTTATGCCATCCTTTTGCTTTTCCGTGTAAATCTTCATAAAGAAATTTGAATCTACTTGCATCGTGTTATTATTTACCGACACATAGATTTCATCTACTTCATCAGTTTATTAAAATGGTCACGAAGCTTCTCCGTGGTGGCTGCCTCCTGGTCAAAGGTTACTCCTTACAACACACTGAATTCATCATCATCATCATTATCATCATCATCATCCTTTCGAGTCTCCTTGAGCGCTTTATATGGCACTATTGTATGATACACGCTCCTAACTTGAGAGAGGTCTGTTCCGTTTGAGAGAACGTCTATTCTCTTTGAGGGAACTGATCTACTTGAATGTTTGTCCCCTTTGCGAAGCCTGGCCGTGTTTGGGCTCCCATAAGACCACCTTGTTCACTGGCAGATCCTTGTACCTCACACATTTTCCAGCCTTTTTGGATCTGCGTGTTCTTATTTTTTACTGTTTCTTACGATACTTTGTATATTTTTTATTTCTCCCCTTTATCATATTTAGTGGTTTTTCATTTGCAAAGTGTTTTGCTTTAATTGAATTTCGTGGTATTGGTTCAGCGGCTATAACTCTTTAGCAAGAGCAAAGAAAAGAAACAGCACTGGCTAGCGTTAAATGCGCTCAATCGCTTAATAAGAAAGATCGGTGGCTTAGATTTCTAGTATGAGGATTGTATCGTTGTCAAGACTTCACTTTACTAATTACAGTACCCATTCTTTTGAATTGGCAAATAAGACACTTTACTTCGTTACACAGATACACGGCTCAAATCAATTGACTATAACTAAGTTAGGATAACCCCTAGGTCGTTGATTTGGTCAAAGGCACTTCGTATAAATATGAAGCAGTTTTTTGAAGAGTTAATAAAATGATAGTAATTATTTGGAGGTAGCACATCCGCAAAGTGGTCCTTTGTCTACCTGATTCCTGGGCGAATTGGAATTTGGAAAAGTTGGTTTTTGAGGAAAGGGGGAAACCTGAGTACGAGGAGAAAAACCTCTCGGAGCGAGGAAGAGAACCACCAACAAACTCAACCCACAAATGGCGACGACGCCCGGATTTGAACCAGGGCCACATTGGTGGGAGGCGACCGCTCTCACCACTGCGCCATCCCTTGATCCCCTTGTTTTGTCTAATCAAGTGTTTGGCGGGTATGATTTTTCAGACTGCAATTAGACTATTGTTATTCATTCAAAGGTCTTTTTTCCTTTTATAATGTACATTTAATAGAAGCCGTCTGTATAGAAGATGAGAAATTTTTCCGGTCAAGCAGTTAACGTCTTCAAGATGAGAACACATTTTTGCTTCTTCTTAAAAAATTCTAACAGTTTTCCTTCCTTTTTTCTTCGTTTTCCTCTATACTGACGACGTGTGTATCTGAACCTTCAATTTATGAGAAAAATTTGGTGAAAAGTCTCTTGAACTGACTTAAAAGTAGTGGAGAAAATTCTCCCAGAGTGCCAAGTTGTGCTGTGTGTTATTATTTGGTAATAATTGCTATCCTTCCGGACTCTTCCATTCAGACACCACTATCAATCTAATGTTTGGCATGCCTATAGCGTGATGCCAGGCGGTGTTCTTTGAAAACACCATCACGTCAACATCAGTTCAACATATGTAAAAACCATTACAGCAAAAATTACATGGCGAACGTCTAGCGACTGAAGCTTCCTATCGGCTGCCAATCACGACATAAAAAAGCGTCCGATTTTGTTCTCCGTCTTCCCCCGTTCAATTTATAGACTGAGTTAACTACGCCCTGGTTTTCCCACGTCATTCTTCTGAAAGAACAAACACTGCTATCTTCAGCAATTGGACGGGAGAAAGGCAAAACGTAGGTCATCTTGCATGGGTTCTAATTTCCCGCGCTTACCACAGACAGCGTGTTTTGTCACGGCTTTCGATCGGTAGATCTTTTATTTGTCTTTGTTGTGATTAGTCAGGTAATTTTAGTTGCCGAAGACACCAATTATTCCAAAATGGAACTGAAGCCAGTTCCCTGATGTTCTTAGACTGCTTAGTTAAATCGTGAGCTCAAAATGAGGAGGCCATCTTGGTTTCATTGCTACTGGGTGGGTATGGGTTTTTCGTCAGGGTCCGCCCCGGGTTAGGAGGTAGGAAATTTGTTAGGGTTAATAAGGCTACGGCCTTTTTCGGTCTTCTAGGAAACCACCTGGAATTGTTAAATTCCATAAATCTTTACTCGCGAGCATGAAGGGTATCGTAAATACCATTAAATATGCTTTATTGTCATTTCCACTTGCAATTTCGCTTTGATAGATCAGTTCTGTTTCCCTCATTTTAGGTGTCAAAAGAGGAAGGTGGAAATAACAGAGTGCATTCACAAGGACTGTAATAATTTCTGGTAGCATTAACTGAGTCTGCTCCTCCTTAAGAGTCGCTGTTTACATCTGTTGGCAACTTGGCGTTCACTTAGATCTATAAGGACCATATTTTAAGGTCATGCTAACCTATGAGTAAGCTCTCAACCCGCTGCATGAGGTGTGGGGCAGAAAAGGGGAGCCCCTGCCTGTCCCTCACCACCCTCGTCTCCACTGTAAATCAGAAAGATTTGTTTTAGCCCAAAAAAGGGGGCCTTTCGGTGCGTAAAATACAGTCCTATTTTTGATTACCTACTGCTGATTTGCACCCAAGGGCAGAAATGGGCCCCATGGAATAGACTTTTGATTGAGCTGTTTTGACCTAAATTGTGCGCCAATGGCTCCAGAAGGGGCTGAACCAGACTTTGGCTTACAGGAATGAATTGGCACTTTGGGGCTGAAACGGACCTTTTTAATTTTCAGTGTCCCATAGCAAAGAGATTTCTCGTGAGAAAACTTTATATAACACCCTAAACTAAAACAAACAATAGACTGAGAGTTTCTTTTGTTACTATGTTTACGCCCTAGTGTTCTGTTAATCAGGTTTTTCCCGGCACAGGGGACAGTTCTTTAGCGTAAGATTTGTTAACGTTCCTTAAAGGGGATATGTCACGAGGATGTTACTGTTTTAGGTCAATTCTGTGCTGAAGTCAGTACGTAGTGCATTTAACCACACACAAAATGTTCCTGTAGTTTTATGAAGGAGATATCAAACAAATTTCATCAGGCAGCACAAGCTATAATATTGTTTTGGTAATTTTTGCAGGCATAGCTTTAAAACGGGAAAACGTTGGCCCATTTTTTTCAAGTCCCAATCCAGGTCTATTCTTGCCATCCATAGCAACAGATGACAGGAAACACTGGCTTCATTGCCTGGTAACAAAACTGGACCGTTATCTATGGAATTCGACTAATACCTAGACACGTTTTAGCTTTTCTAACAAATAGTAAACAGCGTGACGTAATCCCTTTAAACTAAGTAATCTCATTTTTCAATATGTTGCTGCGTAAAGTTATTGAGAGCAGGTGTCTTCATGGTAAGACCATTTTTTCACACCTGAGGGTTTCCCCTGGCTAGCTCACGTGTTTGGTTTGGTTCTTTCGTTTTTATGGTAGCCAGTGTATGTTGACTTAGTTCTACTCCTTGATTAGGAGTGAAGCTAGAATGTTGCGTGTTTGAACTATTCAACGCTAAATTCTGCTTGGTTAATTACTTCAGATAAGATCTTAGGAAAGGATCCATTATTTGTACTTAGATAACTTATTTTGCTTGGTTGGAAGTAGTGGCCTTGTGCATAGTAAGATTGTGAAGAGTACGTGTTGAGTTCGAATCATATATGCATTAAATTCGGCTGATTGCCTTTTTTTAAATAAAGCTGGCCACTTTAAAAAGCTAACCAGTGAAAATGTACTGTGGTTTAATTTTGTGATGCTGTAAATACTCTTATTTTCAGTAAGTTTAATAAACTTCATACTGAACACGATTTACGCCTAAACCACCATTATGGGATCACGTCCTTTGTACCACATATAACGTCATCAGTTTTCAATGGTCACATCCAGCTTTGAGGCCAAACCTGTGTGTGTGTGGGGGAAGAGATCTTTCAATTGAAACCCGGAAGAGGCCAAAAAATATGGAAAAACAGAAAATTCAATGAGCCTTGTTTCATAGAAAAATAAAAACTGCGGAACAAAAGCGAAAGAAGCGCCAATGGTCAGCGTGCAAATATAGCCGTACCTCCTCTCTCCTCGCCGCTAGGGACGTTTCGTGGGAGAGAAACTTCTCTAGCGACAAGGAGCGAGGAGAAACGGCTGTATTCGAGTGAGGCACTGAAACGTTTAGCCAAAATTTGTCTCAAAATTCGCGAGTTGAGAGCTTAATACTTCAACAACGTATGCGCCTGTCCAACTGTTCATGCCCCTCAGTCAAAGTTCAGCAGCATTCCGGACCAAGAGCCATATTTCTGAGTTTATCAGTCGTTTCAAATTATTTTCTGGTCTTGTATAAATGTTAGCTTAATCAATTGCTGAGGCTTTTTAGTTTTTGAATTCTTGGTGTCCCGGAATAACTTCAAATGTCTTTGTTGACTGATCTCGGTTCAAATATCTTTGAGGACCTGCCCGGGAGTATTTAAGCTATATAGGTACGTGCCCGGGATAGGGCACGGTTTCCGCGGTCTTGAAAAAGAATGCCCTTTTTGCTGGTTCTTTAAAGGGTACCTGAGAGCACAGGGGCTCGAGTGACTTTGAGAAAACTGAATTGCCTGTTGAGCCAGAACCATAGAACCTTTGCTTTATAAATGTCCATTCGATTTCCTTTTCCTTAAGTTTCGCTCTAATTTAAGACCTTTCGTCGCACACACCTATCCCAGGGGGACTCCCTATTACGGCTTATACGAGGAGGCTCCGCTCGGGAATAGGTAATGTAAATGATCGATTAAACGCCGCGGCGCTTATTCCAATTTCCCTGTTAAAAGTGCGGCACTTTTTTCAACTACGGGTAAAACACTAAGGGGAATAAAGAGAGAATTACGTGAGTCGCATGTCTAGGTATACACAATGTAACATCACCCTCTTTGAGATATGTACACGTCGAAATGTTATAGCCCCGCGGGCACATATCTTAAATCAGCAGAAGCACTCCACCCCGGAGGATGTTGTACTTGCACACAAACAACGCTCAGTGCTATCAGTGATAAGTGTAAAAACTATGCTTCGAGTAGACGTCTTCGTCCCGCTACGTTCTTTCATCGGAATAGTTAACCTGACTAAACTAATAAACTAATACAGGAGCCCATAACCCGGAGCGAGCAACTCCCATACTAGGCCTATGTTACGGCGTTTTTCTCTGACCGGGTTTATTTTTAGACACATTTTAGGGCACTTTTTCCCACGAAAATGGAATCTCCGCCACGTTTACGAACACATTCGAAGTATAAGATAGCAACAAGGAAAACGTAACGTCGTTAAAAGGCAAAAATTATCATTTTTAGGTCTATATGTTTTGCTGACTGGTTTGTGGGGCTAGATATTCTAAATTCGTGCCATAAGCTGGTCCGTGGAAACGCCGTGACACGAGTACATGGAAGTTGCTCGCTTCAGGTTATGACCTCCTGACTAATATGAAAAGATATGAAAACTGTAGACATCATGATCTTTTTCCTTGTGGGCGGGGGTGGCTGCGAGGGGAGACGAGTCATATCACACTGATTCAATTAATGCTTGCTTGATATCTCAGCCACATAAGATTAAACGTAATGCTCCTCACTCTCGACAAAATCATACTTGAGCAAACACGTTAGCAATTGGTGGCATACATAACTCGTGAAATTCTGTTGCCTTCTTGAGTTTGGAATTTTGATGTTTTTTCATCTTTCAAGTCTCTACACAAACTGTAGTTCTATTCGATTAAAGATTTCTGTAACACCTTAATAATATAATCAGACGTTAATTCACTTTGCTTTGTTAGGTTGTTCTCGTTAATTCTGTTCCTCTAAGATACTATTTTTGTGTTTGACAGTTTTGTTTGTTCAACGTTTATTTGCTTATCACGGTAAAGTGGGTATTTTGCCCATTTTTATTTAGATAGATAGACGCCTTTATTTAAAGTCAAAAAGTAATTACCCAGGGTGCTATCAATAGCTAAGAGCCCTGAGTTCACTAACAAGACTATAAATAACTGATAATAATAATAATAATATTAATAATAATAATAATAATAAAATACATACAGGGTAATATAACAAATGAACTAATAACAAGATCTTTCAAGATTAAGGACATTTACAATAACTATTTTAAAAAAACCATACTTCCATGGTAATAAAAGGATCTCTTGGCCACTTCGGGTCTTATAGCAGGCAGATGCAAGAGATTGCTTGGCGGGTTGAACGAGCACAAATGTCCTCGTTAAAAACAAAGTTGTTCTTAAAATACTGAGGGCACCGACCATGTACACATTTCCTTACAAGTTTTAGGATGTGTTCATCGCGCCTGTCTAAGACTTGGCCACTTCATAGCTTTCATCGCAGTGGTAGATGTTTTAATTACAATCTTCCAAAGCGCTTCTGCAGAGTTTCTAGAATTCCAGTATTTACTTCCCCACAACACCCCCAGAGTTCGAAATTCTAAGATCTTAAATTATTTTGACTGAAATTTGGAATCTTTGTTATGTTATGATCAGATCGCCATGGATACACTGACTTTCTCTTGAGGGGGACGTCGGTGTCCCTCGTGCTGGACGGGAGAGAGGGTGCGGTTGTCGGCCTTTCCTCCACAAGAAATGCATATTGGATCCTTGATTGAGTAATGAGAGGTTTTGAAAACAAGTTTATCTTAGGTCAGCTTTAAAGTCTCTGAGAATAAAATCTACCTTTCTGAGAATAAGGTTATTAGGCGTGAGTTGATAAAGCTTTGAATAGATGTCTAAGTGTTGGGAGGTGTTAAGTAGGTGATTAACTAGCCTATCGGCCCCTTGTTTGTCCTAACTACTTTTTAATCGCTTCCTTTGCGGATGCTGATTGTAAGCACACGTATGCCTCAACAAAATATCCGCTTGGTTAAACGATTTATCACTCGTGTTTCCCCTTTGCGTGCTTCTTTAATAAGGGCGATTGGCTCTACAGAAGGTCAATTTCTTTTACCTCATAAGGTGAAAGTACACAATGTTCTCTTGTTCAAGATTAAGCTATCTTAATTGGGTGTGGAGTTAATTAACTTTATCTTCCTTCACACGTTCTTGTGGTTTTCAACCCCCTCTCTATGAATAAATGTTAACATTAGCTCCTATACAATCATGCCAAAGGGATACTTATAGATGCCAAGATCAGTAAAGAGATCAACAAAGGCGGGGCTAGACTAGTGGCCTCGGCCTCAAAAAGCCTCTCAAGTGCAAATCATCGAGAAAGTCACTGACTTCAAGCTCATGGTTAAACTGAGACAAAAAGGAAATAAACCACCTGGATTTTATTTGAGACATTATATTATCCATCCATCGTCAGCAGCAACTAAAAACAACAACCATAAATGCTTAGACCGCGAGCGGTCGTCCTCCTTTCGCCAGAGCCACGCGCGGTGAGCGAAAAGGTAAAATTGTCCAAATTACGGAAAAAAAGGAAGAGGAACTGTGACTCACAAGAAAAATAAGAGACTGATCGCAGTTAAATAACTGCTTAAAGCCAAAAATCGATAGTATAGACGATCACTGAGTTCCACTCTGTATTTTACCCCTAGAGAGTAAAACCTTGTGTTTGAATATGGGCTTATCCTCCCAGAGTGCTGAATCGGCAAAAATACGAGAAAAAAATGAAACCAATAGAGTAACAATACTAAAAAACAAATTTACCACTACCCACTGAAGAGGAAAGACATGTTGAAGAGGGTTCATTTGAATAGTAACAACGTAGGATTTCGATTTCGTTTACAAACTCGAAAGTTAGAAGGTTTGTTGAGGAGTTTTTTTTTCTTCATGGAAATGAAAAGTAAAAGAGAATCGTTTAAGGCGTTACTAATGAGAACGGACAGTCAGCGCCTCATCTTATGAATGGTATGAGGTAATCTTGTTTAAAACATACCTGAATGTTCAGTTTCTGTTTTTAAAGAGTTTGAACTTCCGATGAGAAGGCTCGCAACCCAAAATACGTCGGAAATTTATCATGCGTCATGAAATAACTAAAATAACTAACGTTTTCGATATCGGATGATTTGGTGGGCTTGGATTGTTCCAGATTGCGCAATACTAACTGTATACTGGCCTCTTGACTCCTAATCACCGCTAGGGGTAAATACGGCTTAATGAGATGCCATTAATTAATAGCTTAATAGATACAGAGGTAGTTATTCAGCAAGCGGCAACATCTTGGTGAAAGGGATACCGGCTTTGTTCAGGCTAATCGGCCGAGGACACAATTAATAGACAGTCATATCTTTTCCACGTCAGTTTTCCTTCTGTCGTGTTTTTGTGACAGCGGGCGTTTGTTAGCCTTGATGGGAAGGATAGGAAGAAAATACTGTCGAGAATGTCTCTGGTAAAATGTGTGGCACGGAACAAGGTCGTCAACCCTCGTCAAGGATGTCTCAAGCGAATGCCAATCAAATCGACTATCAAGATAACACCGCAATCGCCACTCAACACAAGCTAGCACAGGCCGAATTCCACTGACCGTTTATATGCGTTGACAGCCGTATCGTCTTACAAAAGCTGCTCTATTACTTATAAGCGTTTTTCGCCAGTAGAGTCGATTGCCAAAGAAGATTGTTTACAAGCTCAAGTCAACACTGCAACGCACATGATGTCGGCAGTAGTAAAACTAGAGGGCTCTTGGTCTGATGGGGAAAACAATTTCTCTTACTCGGACCAGTTAATGCAAAACTCACCCACTTCTTCACAGTCTTCGACCAGCGGTGATGGAGACTTGGACAAAATTGGTAGCCCTGTCGCCGCTCATCCTGCTGGTAGGCGAAAGCTGAAAAGGCGAAGAAAGCGCATGCTAACTGGAGTAAGCCGACAACGGCGCGCTGCTAACGAGCGCGAGAGAAGGAGAATACAAGGTGTCAACCGCGCCTTTTTGGAGCTAAAAAACGCGCTCCCAGTGTCTGACACCGCAGAGATTTCTAAAATCGATATTCTAAGAGTAGCAATAAGGTGGATCGAACACCTGTCCGAGTTGTTAGATCAGGATGAGAGAATACCCAGCGAACCAACCAACTTTTGTGACAGTGTTGAGCCCAAGTTGCACGAACTTCTGGGGGAGGAGTTTTACATCAATGCCCCTGAACTAGAAAACGACGATTTTCTTCAAGGAGAAGGTACGTGTTCGTTACTTTAGTGAATTCGCGCACATCCCGGTGGTAGTACTAGACATTAAAAAAGTGCCAGCCTGAATAGGCTCTTGGCTTAGAGAAGGAAAAAAACTCCCTGCCTTGTTTTTCAAAGCTATATAGTAAATCCCTTTTTAGCATTAAATTTATCTAGCAGTTTGTTTTTGTAACCCTAAGCTTCTAAAAAGCCAGCCTTGACATGTGTAAAAGCTGAAACTAAATTGATAAAACCAGTGAACCTTTACAAAAAACTCTTGACGTAAGCCTAACCGATGAACTTAGTCCGATGATTGACTTGAGTTCAACAAAAACATGATCTTTTTCTCAAATTTTCTCCCATGCATTCCCGGCAATTGACGCTCTTTACACTCACCCAAATAAGGAAATATCGATCACATTGTTCTGCTCTTTATAGAACATAAAAGAAGTTTTGCATTTTTGTATCACAGAAGAGTCTAGCAAAGTTTCTGGTTTCTCTTTTTATAACCATGGCCTGATATAAACCATAGTGTCAACACTAAGGGTAACGCGTAGTTATTTTTATGCTGCAGCGATATTTCATAGCTTAACGTGAAACAATTTTTCCCCGTCATAATTAATCCGCACCTAAACGGCATAACAGGACTCCTGCCTTCTTTCAAGTGATAAACATACTTTGTAACCTAACCTATTTAAAAATAACAGGAAATCGGACATTTTAACGCTTTTTGGCTTTACTACAAAAAAATTAGTGTCATACTCTTTAGTAATGACTAAAAAGCGTCTCCATGCTTTTTAGTATTGCTTTCAGTGCATGTTTCCGAGATTTCTTTCTTTTTTCTAACTGAACAAAAAGAACCGACTATCAATTTTAACTGGAAAAACGTTGTTTGTATAACGGTCAAAAATCAGTTAAATTGCAATAACAAAGAGACAGAGTATTTTTGGTAACTTTGCTTAAAATAACCTTTAAATTTTCTTTCCTGCTTGGCATTCCATACAAACAGTTAAGGTCTAATCAGAATTTTAGAGAGAAAGTCTAGTCGTAGAGGCAAAATCTCATGAAAACGTTAGCACAGTTTGACGCAGACATTTCGCTTACTTTAAATCCAGAATAAGTAAAAATTCGATTCACAAGCTTGTTTTTAGACATTACTTGTAAATTCACGTCATTGGAAAAAGTCATTTAGACTATCTAGGTGTTGCGCAGAATATTAAATTATCTATACACTAAAAACTACTTTATTAAAATTCTTTTGTAATCAAAGATAAAACGTTTAGCCTCCAACCGTGCTTAAAAATGGCCCGAACGAAATTTAATGACGTTCCGACATTACGGGAATATTTCATTTCCGGTCGAAATTCCATTTTAGTTCGGCGCAAATACACAACTGGGACGAAAAAGAGAATAAGAAAAATAAGAAATGAGGATGTTGCCAATCTTCAGTTTGGATTACACCTGAAAAGACTGATGGGCGAACTTGCTATCAGTTTGGTGCAGTGGGGTATTTTAGAACATTTAAGTCGTCGATAAGATCTCCCACTTTAAATGTTCTGCCAGTGAGTGTTTGTGATAATTGCAATGTGCGTAAATTATGCTAATAAATCATTGTAAATATGACAAATTTTTTATCCATGGCGAATGCTTTCTTACTAAATGCGTCTTTTTCGAGGCCGTTTTACCAGTCTATGGTTCTTGTTAGAACCCACAAATTGTGGTTTCCACATTGGGAAGGTTTTTAAACAAATGGTTTACAAGATCCGGGGGAAGCATGCACTTAAGAAATCTCAGGTTTACAGGACCAGATTTTTAATAGGCAGACCAGGAGGGTACTCCTAGGAACTCTTGGAGGGGTGTGCCGCCTGGTTCTCCAAAATCCTGACCCTATTTCAAACCAACAATGTCATTTCCACACCCGTTGTCAGTGGCATCTAAAATCCATACACGTTTCAGACCTGGCCTCTAGGCAGAAATTATGTCATGATTACTTAGATTAAAACGCAAACATAAAGATTTTTTAAAATCCATTTCGAATTCGCATACTTCACTATACACTCCAATATTTCCCTCGAAAACCATACCCGATTCCAGACCAAAATGAGCAAAATGTCAGTATTCCTGCTTTCAGATCGAAAAGGCGCAAAAACCATTCCCTTTGGGTTGGCACATACTTACATGGCTTATGTAAGGGAGTAATCCCCGGCAGGCAGAGACCCATGGCTCGTAATATTCAGCAGCACCGTACTTATCATCAGTACTTAAAGGATATCAGACATGGTTTTCAAACGGTTCTTTTTTTTCAAATGCTTTGCAATTCTGACATTGATGCTAAAAGAAGAGATCACTGACCGTTAATGTGAAACGTTCGTGAGTTATGTTTGAAAACCGATATGAAGAGGTCCCCCCTGACAGTCCCTCCATTGAACGCCTCAGATTAGTGGCTGGATGATTAACATTCTTTCACACTGGCCCACCCCTGAAGACAACAAGCGTTAACTAGATAACCGTTATCTTTTAGCAACGAGTCCATACGCCACATGACGCAGATTTAAACGAAACTGACACGGTTGAAGATATCGTTTTGGTAAATAATTGTATTAGTTTTTCTTATCGCTTGGCGCATGGCGGTAATCTGTTGAATAATTTTAAAAAATTGGGTTGTAATGGCGATTCCATCACGTCCTAAAGAATGTGCCAAAATTACCTCCGTTTTTGGGCAGTTCTGAATTTTGGAACACGACAGTGAATATTTTAGTATCCGTCGTTAATTCTTCTACTTTCAAAACTAAATTAACAGTCTATCTGTATAGGTCTATACCACAAAAAAACCTTTACTTGGTTACTAATGGGAGTTTTGCAACTAGCAAAGTGGAATCAGTGATAAAAATTCAAGCTTAGTAAAATGGAAAATTTAAGCAAACAATGTAGAAATTTGATTGACTAAATATACCGGTATCACTATAAAGGAACGTTTGAAATGAAATGTCCCACAATTTAAACGCATTACGTAAATCAATGCTACGCTTGCTTGCCTACAGCCTGGCTTTAACTGTATTTTGGCATTTTAGTCATTTTAGGTTGCCGGTCGATTTGGCGTTTTGCCATTTTATAAAATATCGGTTGGTAAAAGATGTTTTTCCACCCAGGTAATGATCAGTGAATGATCCATTTGTAATTTGGAGATCCTAGGATGGTATTTATAACTGTATTTGAACTGGTATCGATTGAACGTAATTTTTCCGCCTGTACAAGAAGGGTACGGCATATGAATGGTTCCTCAAAAACGTGGGTCTCGGAACGGTTCTGGGAAGCGTATTTGACGGGTCTCGAAGTCTGGTTTTCGGATCGATCGAACTTTGTTTTGCGTCTCGGAGTCTCGAATTTTCAGTATAAGTTTCGGTCTCGAATTTTGAAACCGGGGTTTCGCCGTCTCGGAAGTCTCGAATTTACCATTCTATAACCATGCAAATGAAAGACCACTGTGCTGTGTGACCACAAGCGACGAGGCGAGGCATCCTCTCTTGGTGACCCCTGATTGGTCTGATTATGTATAGGTTAATAAGCGCGGCGCTTTTAGGAACTTTTTGTCTTTCTGTAGATTCTGTACAGGAAGCCGGATTCTGACTTTTGACGGTGTTTTGAACCCAAGGTTATTAAATTTAAATGTGGAGATTTCGTTACACCTAAAGCAAGGGCACAGTCTTTGATCTTTAGAAAACGGGCTACTGATATCTGCTGAGTTAAATCATTAATTTACGATTTCTAAACTGGGATTCTTTAACCTAAGACCCTCAAGTTAAGCTTCTTAATGACGGACCCATTAGAGGATTAACTTCTTTGACCCAAGATAAGTTAAATCCTCCAGATCCTGTCCGCTTAAAGTCTCAGCTTTTTTTAACCAGTTAGTTAACATCCGCTGATAAGATATGAACCCTCACTCCAACAAGTGCTCCAAATTAGGAATTCAATAAAAATATCAAGTCTATTTTTGAAAACTGGACAAAAAATAAATAGCATCATTTGAAAGTACGGTTATGAAAGCTCTTATTTCATGGAATGGACACACCAAAGAGCTTTTATGCCACTGTGGGGCTGAACGGAATAACGATGGTCACCAGATAACACGACTACCGTCGGTGTGTCGTGATTTTTTTTTCTTCGATTAGCTAACTAAAATTTAGGTTTTTTTCACTTTGATAAAATTGAGGAACATTAGGACTAAACTTGCACAATATTACCATATTTACCTGACTGTCTACATCATTATTAATTAATTAATTTATTTATTTACTTGACTCCCAAGATCTGATAGTAATTCTCATTTCTGGCTGTTATGCATTTTACTGTGCATTGGTTAAGAGAATTTGGGGTTATATCAATATGGCATCCATTGGCTGATAAATTTACCTATTCTAGTCACCTATCTGTTGGACAATGTATTGGAATTATGAGGACAAGTTATAAACCAGTCACTTATGGGAGTTAAAGGCGTTAAGCCCCTGCAATCCCTACCTTTAATTGTGTAGAGTAGCCGAGAACTGCCTGTTTATTCTACTTACGTTTTTAGCCAGTTCTTTCCCAGATGAATAACTCGATCCAGCTAAATCTCCTTAACGCCATGTTTCTCTTAGGCAGTAGGCTGTTGTCAATAGATCTTATTTTCCTCTTAACCTTTTCACTACCTAGAGAGTAATTAAAAAATACATTTATAAAAAGCAACTCCTAAATTTCATTTTGTGAAATACGGGAACTAAATGGCTGGTGCCAGGCACTCAAAAAAAGATTCAATTGATTTGTCACACCATAGGATTTTATTCAGACTCAAATTAATGACTCGGAAAACATGGCATGCCGAACTTTGGAAGAGGGGGCTGTTCGCTCTCAGGTCAATTGTTCTGATCAAGTCGCTCAGTGTGTTGGGAGTTGCACGAATCAAGGACACACTAATTGGCCACCAGGGTGAATTAAGATCAGCATGCGTGTCCCATAATTGAATTTGGGAGAGAACTATTGGCACTCAAGTTCTGATGTCTAGTCACTCAGTGGGGCCGGAGTTGCACCGATTACTTAAATAGTCACACTATACGGCCTGCCATAAGTAATGTTTTAACTAAGGAATCACAACTCGGCATAAGAAATCCAGCCAATAATTAAGTTTAACGCATGTTTATCAATCCGAATTGATAATATTTGTTTTACTACCGCTTGGATAAAGTCAATTTTTATACAGTGGATTATAAATTTATTTTATGGGCTACCTGCCAAGTGGTATTATAACATCAAAATTAGAAGCTGATAAACACTACAATGAGATAACGTAAGCTCTCCGGAAATCAGCTTTCGAACCATTAAGGGCAGCCTACGCATAGGAAACAAGCAGTTTAAAGCAATTTAGTAATCATGTGGGGTAATAGATAGAAATACTATTCATTCTCTTTGATCTGATAGAATCATGGAACTAGTATACGAGATAGCTCCCCACAGACAGTGACAGAGCACCACAAATAGGGTCTGGAAAGGAGGACTCGGGGCCCTGATCCCGCTCCTTGTTCACGGAGACCCCCCATCCCGAACTTCTGCCATCGCTATCCCGAACATCATTTTCTTTCCCAATACTGCATTCGTGCCCAGACTTTGGCTTTCCCAGTAGCAGTCAAATCCCGCATCCCGTTAATGTTTTCCCGATTCCCCAACTCAGGCGCGGATCCACACCGGTTTCCACCGTTTTACGGAAATCAGTGACATTTCAGTCATAATAATACATTTTTAATAATAAAAACACATTCGACGTTGAAATCTGGCCAATACCCTGTCTGAATGACTCGGAAACTCAGGAAAGGGGAATTCAGGAGTAAAAATCCAAAAAAATTTGCTAGGGAGTCCGTCCCCGGACCCTTCTAGAATCTTGCGCCTTCGGCGCTCGTTTAGGAAATCGGTCAGTATTTATCCTAGATCCTCGCCTGCAACTGTATTTTGGTCAATCCCGGATCCCGGAAAACTCTTCCAGACCCTGCACAAAGGCTACCACCTCAGATTGCTAATTTTAACTTTGTCTTTTCGTTTCCTCCATAGATATATGGTCAGATACATCCAGTCACCTTTGCGTTCACACCGAAGAGCCGTTTCTTCATACTCTACTTTGCAACAGTTTTCAATCGGACACTTTGACTTTACCTCTCTTGGAACTTACTGATCGACTCTGAAAGCCGTTGTTGGCTCTCTGAAGTTATTGCCGTTCGTGACTGAAGGAGTGGAGCCAGAAGAAATTAAAACGAAGTTGGCAAAGTCCCTCGGCTTTCCAGGGCTCATCCATTATAATGGCCCACGTTCGATATATAGAAATTCTGTCATGACTCCGAGGCTTTGGGGACAAAATTGCAGATTTTTCACAACTCCCGGCATTGTCTTGAGCACAAAGAAAACCAACCCAACTATAGAAAAATGACCAGAAAGCCTCGGAGTCATGTTTAGGGCTTTCCACAAGTTGCTCGAGATTTTCGATAAAGTTTCCCAGAATGTGTCAAAAGTTGCTCAAAAAACAATCAAAAGTTGCTTTTTGTGACGAAAGTTGCTCAAACGTTGCTTGAAAAAACAAAAACTTTTTTGGTCTGATGCTAAAATATGCAAATTGCACAAGAAAAGTAAGACTATGATATCTAAGCATTTTTGTGCAATTTTGCAGCGTAACCAACGATGTTAAATAAGTTTGCCCTCAATTAAAACCAAAAAGGGTAATGAGCCAACAGAATTGTTGAATGACCTTCTTCACTGTCAAGTCAGTCGAGTGTGAATCTTCGTCCACCATTTTGAATTTTCTCTAAACACCACTGATCGAGCAGCCCGGCTTCTTTTATCTTGCGCCCATGATCTGCCCCAGGGGGGAGGATTTGCCTCTTTTTTTTCAAGAAACATTGGGAAATATGGAAGAAAGGCCAATTTTAGGACTGAAAGCTGCTCCGACGTCTCAGAATTAGAAGATGACTAGAGAAATTGATCAGAATGGAAAAAGTTTCTCGAAACGAAAAAAGTTGCTTAAAATACGAGAAGTTGCCAAAAAATGTGGCCGAGCAACTTGTGGAACGCCCTAGTCATGTTAGAATTTTGAAAATATATCGAAGGTGGGCTATTGTTCTGGGAAAATCCTTGGGGAAGATGTCAAGGGGGGGAGTACTTTAGGAATTTTTGGGTGGGGACGTGCCGCTGGAACCCTGGAAACCCTTAGCCTATACCAGAGCTGGTTCAGCTGTATTTTGCTACCCTATGCTAGCCTAAATTCCCCAAATTCCTCCTATCCTAGAGTAGCTGTTTTCCAGAAACTACTGAGGTCACTAGCACAGTCCAGCCCAAGCAAAACCGATTTGATTTTTCGAGTGGCAATTCCCGGTTTCTCTAGTCTAGACTAAAATCTTCAACCAATTGAACAGTTTCCTAGAAAATGATACCCTATTCTAGACGCAAACTCTCTGATTTAAATACCCTATCCTAGGGTAAACTGCTTGAAAACCATACTCTTCACCGCGGCACATACCTATATAGCCCAAATTTGGCAGTTCCCCCGCCGGGAAGACGTCATCCTGCCAGAAGAGAGTTTCTTTTGCTTGCTCGAGTTTGGCCTACTCCTCACCACGGGGGAGGGGTGCTCCCTCCTCACCCCAGGGGAGGGGTACTCCCTTACAAAAGCCATTAAGGTATGTGCCGCGTCAAAGGGTAGGGTTTTTCCGCCGTTTTGGTCTGAAAACGGGTATGGACTTTGCTCATTTTGGCCTGGTATCGGGTATGCTTTTCAAGCGAGCTACGGGAATGTACGAACTTATATATTGTTTCAACTCCACATGAGTAAGAAAGAAAGAGAAATATGCGGATTCGGAATGGGTTTTAAGAAATCTTTTTTGTCGGTGTTCTAATCTAAGTATAAATGATGACATAATTTGTTAAAGGCCAGGTCTTAGAATGGGTATGGATTTTAGAGGCCAGATAAGAAAACGGGTGTGAAAAATGACATTTTTTGGTCTGAAATAGGGTCAGGATTTGGGGAACCGGCGGCACGCGTCCACCAAGAATTCTCATGAGTACCCCCCCCCCTCCGATCCTCACTCAAGAAGACAACAGGAGGCTCTGCTCGCAGGGCTACAACGCGTTTGTGATATTTTTCACGAAAATCATGATATTTCACCATATTTTTCACGAAAATACGCTCGAGTTACAAGCAGCTACAGAATGCTATCATTTGAGATCAACAAGAGATAAAGGCAGTCAGTCTAGTTATTATAAAAATAGCTTGCAAATAATGAAATCATCTCAAACAATGGTTTAGTCACCAGTTCGCAAACGTGATCGTAGTTAAAGAGAAAGGAAACTGATCGATTAATAGCTATTTAACTAGAGAAAACATGTACAGTTTTAATACAATGATTAAAATCTTATTAAACGGATAAATGTTAAGGTCTTTTATTTTGCTAATGAAATATTTGTCGAGGAAATCAGTTTTAGCTATTGATACAGATGGTTAAAAATAAGCACAAACACAAACATTACTGGGATTGCCTGCACTGCCCTCATCTTTACCTTGCTTGATCATAAATTTACTTTGAGACCTCACTCTTACGTTACCATCAAAAAAAAAATAAAGAAGTTTTTTTTCATAGTCTTGCTTTGCAATTGCGCCATGTTTAATAGAAATTGAAAACACTGACCCGGCAGAGAAATTGCCAAGGCTTTAATTTTGACAAGAAAATTCTAAATGGAAATGACATCATCTTTCTACCCTAGCAACCTCCGCAACCGAGCGGCATTCCAAATCCTGGCGCAGGCCTCCATCTTTTAAGATAACAAATTTTAAGTGGGGACTGAACAGAAGTCTGCCCTCTGGATACTTTCCATTTTAAAGTTGCCATTCGCGAGCGCCAATGATTTGTTTAAGTTATTTCTCAACTATCGACATGATCATATTTTAACACCATTAAAAACTCTGTCAAGTGAGGCAACCGTTGTCAGAGCAGAGCAGGCCCACGCGGCGGCTCACGCATAATCTCACGCATAAGCTCACGCAACATCGCGCAATCTTCTAACCTTGGACCCAGATTGCTCGCCGACAAAGGACAACCTTTTAATACTCATGCGCAGTGGAACATAAACAAAGGTTTTGGTGCAATAAAAGAACTGACGAAATTCAGGAACGATTTGAGAGGAAATTTGACTCCCCAATGACGGTTCCAGGAAAGACTTAAAGGAAGAAATACTAAATATTTTTACAATATTCAGTATTGGAGCTATTAAAAGTTACAGGAAAGATATAGGAGGTCCGACACAGGTGGAAGAAAGATTGTATAATCACAATGACGCATCTGATCTGTGAAAATGGCGTAGCATTTATCGCTTGACTTTGACAGTTGTACTGAGATGGACGATATTTCCGTCGCAATGGCTTTACGACGATGAATTTTGAAAGGAGATGTTTACTGCTTATAAATTTTTCGCCGAAGTACTGGATAGAAGCACTTTTTATGCATGAATACACAGTTGATGAAATACACCCCGAAGATAACGTGACATTAATATTGTCAGTCTAGATATGGCTGGGTTTCGCACACAGTATACTCGACTGAATTCAAATTCAGACGATCCTGAAGAGGATTTACCTCCACAGGGTTTTGATATTGGTGCCCGTGGATTTGAGGAAGTTGAGAAAGGTGATTGAAATGCATGTAATTTGGAGTGTATAATCTAATTACCAGCAGTACGTTATTCAATATGTTTACATATTTGTGTAAAGACTGTTGGGTTTTTAGGCGGGAACATGTCTTTGTCCACGCAAGCGTTTGAATAAAGCGTAAAATCCAACCAGTGTTAATTTAAGTGCCCATATAAAAGTTAAAAAATCCTGCACAAGGTGTTTGAAATAATTCACCATGAATTAAAATGGAGAACCAACGAGCACGAATAGATTTTGTGTGTCTATCTTGCACTTGAGTACAAACCAAATAACTTCGCTCTTTTGGACTGACTATGTATTGATGTTGTTTACTGGTGCTGTTTGTACATCTTATTCCTTTAGGTCGTTGGAATCACATTGAGAATCTTGATGAGTTCTTCATTCGCATATCCTTTTCACTGTGTTTTTGTTGGTATACAGAGAGCATTTGTTTGTTAATTACAAAATTCATCCCAGTCAAGGCTGTGAAAGGGAACAAAAATATACTTTATGTACAAGCTCATTGTTTCTGATGTTCCTCTCGCCCATATCATGGTCTTACCTTTCTCAATCAATCAATCAGTGTCATAGCAAGGGATATAAGGGATATGGTTGCCCCAAGTATCAGAGCTCAGGCTCATGTATAAAACACATGTGTGTTGTTGTTATTACAGAATAGGGGAATAGGGAAATGTACCTCCCATAAAAGAATATACTTCCATACAAAACATTTAAACAAATAGATTCCATGTGCTTATTTCTATCCATGTCCAATGGAGGGTGTGGGGATGCTCCCTATGATGGCTTATTAGGTGAGGCTCTGCTTGAAAGGGGTACCTTTCCTAGTTCAGGTATATAAAAGGGTAGGGATTTCACTAGTTGAAGTATATGAAAGGGTAGGGAAAATCGTCATTTTGGTTTGTAAACAGGTCGAAAAAGAGCTAACAGGTGCATTTATGGCTGTGAAAAAGTCAGGAAAACTTCTTGGTTTAGGTATTTTTGTACGTAAAAGGGTAGGGGGTTGGACCTCAAAGCAGAGCCTCTCCGAAAAAACTCTGTCAGTTGTTCCTAGTCTTTAATCCATCAAAGGACTGACCATCAAGGGTTGTTAAATTAATACACAATCTACATGAATAGTGGCCATAGTTATAGTGAGATAGATGTCTGGGAAATGATCAAACTTAACAAATATTATCCTTTACATTTCCTCACATATATGAATATCACAGGAATAATGGTTTTGTTTGCATTCTCCTTAATGAAATTTTTGAATTAATGTAAGGAACTCTTCTTGCATGATATTATTCAACTTATATAAAAGGTGCCTCTGATATGTCACAGTTCTATTGATATTTTGGCAGTTTTTTTTTTTTGGAATATCAGTGTTTCAAGGCTTTGACTATTTCACTCATAACCAAAATATCGGTACTCCTGAATGATGAAAGACCAAGATCTTTCACACAAACTGTTAAAGAAAGAACAAAACTATAGAGTTCTAAAGTGTGATGTCATTAAAAAATAAATTAGTGAAATTATGGGATTTGTCAGGATATTCTGACTGAAAGAACAACATCCAAGAGGCCTGCTTGCCAAAAACTAGCATTTCGGGGCAAATTGTCTCTGAGATATTAGCCCAGTTATGCTCCGATGACTCCATACAAATCCTTCTAAATGTGACTCAGTTCATAACATTAGGAACTGAGTCAAATTTAGAAGGATTTGTATTGGGTCATTGGAGCTTATTGCCTCGAAATGCTAGTTTTTGGCAAGTAGGCCTCTTGTATATTGTTCTTTCAGAATATCTGAGAAATCCCATTATTTCACAAATTTAATTTTTATGATGTCATCACTTTAGAACTCTATGTATACATATTTTAATTCCCTCTTATGCTGCTTCTTATACCAACTTTTTTTGTATTCATGAGTTAATTCTGGGTAACTGGGGAGCAGTTAGGAGGGACTTTGCCAAATGTGAATTACAAGAGATATGGATAGTGAAGGGAAAAAGAAAAGAAGAAAAAATGTAAGGCCAATAAATCCAGCCAGGTTCACTGAGCTAGCTTGGTTAGTAAAGTTTTTGTTATGGGACTCCACCGGAAAGTTTTGTTTCTTGTAAAGTAGCTCAATCTTGTCTTTTAAAAACCTGCTTCTTTTTTATCCTTTAAACAGCCAATTCGTATTTGTGGTTCTTTTTACATCGTTCTTGGTTCTATGTGTGGATTATGACAGATTATTCAACCACAAGTTCCCAACATTCTCCACTGTTGTGCATTTCCACAAAGTGCAGCAGTAAGTTACATTATAAGTGTAAAATCTTTGTTACATTAAATTTAATAATTTAGAGGTTGCTTTAGTTTCAATTGGTTGAAAATAAAAAGTATTCCTCACTTTTCATCCCATCCCCTGAATTACTTATGAACAGCTGCCACTTTCATACTACTAGAAAATGTGGGCCATGCAATGATACAAGAAGCTGCTACCTACAGTAGGACCCCCCGGGAGGAAAGAGCCACTCCGTCCATTTTTAATATGGTGTGAGTCCATGTTTAACAACAGTGGAAACAGGAAGTGTCACATGAAAAGAAGCAATTGTTGCCTTGTAGATGAAAGGTTATATATCCTGGCATGGATGACAGCTTCATAATAGGGCGCACTAGTGTTTTTTATTAAAGCTGGGACAAAGAACTTCAGTATCTACTGGGACCTGGAATACCTAGTGGGATCACATCCCTGGTGTCGTTCTTACTTTCAGGCATTTGTAATAATTAGTGCTAATGTTGGTTTTAAGAACAGCTCATGTGTGCATAAGTGAGACTTAACAGGGACTGCTACTTTCTTAGTGAGTTTTTTGTTTCAATTATTAATCTTTTTTTATCGCATAAAAATATTAAGTAATTGTTTATCACTAAATTTGTTTCCTCGATTTTTCTTTTTACATTACAGTATGGAGCCTGCTATAGTTGTGTGTCTTGTCATTGCTTTCATTTTTTGGTTGATTCGTTTGGCGAGAATAGTCGTCCATTTCTTTAAACTTATGGAAATACGGGCATTTTACAAAAATGCACTACGAATAACAGAGGTAATCACTGGCATCTCTTCTGTAATTTGAATTATTATGATCATTATTATTTTTGCATATAGTAGTTTCATGGGGATGCTAGCTATTGCCACTAATGTATGAGGGAACTTGAAAAAATTACAGTTGATTTTTTCCATCTGGTTTAAAGCTATACTTTAGAGCTGAAATGAAATTGATTGGACACCCTTTTATGATATCCTCACTAAAGTCTTGCTGGCAAATTTATTTTGCCTTTGGCTGTAAAGAAAATCTTAGTTTTTCCACAAAACTGGATTACTGCAGGGCTCTCATCAAAGTTTTAAGTAGATGGTCTCTCAAGGAAAGTAGCCAGTCATTTATCCCACAAATCCTTCTACTTTAATTTTGTTATGCTTGATTCATTTTCAAACTAAGAGTACCTGGTTAAGTTTACTGCAGTAGCCAGCTAAACAAACTGGCTGCTGGCTACTAATGACAGCCCTCAGATGCTGGACACCTTGGATTTCATACGTTCAGAGTTTCCCCCTCCCTACAGTTTTTCTTACATCACGTCTATGTTAATGTACAATTTGGTAGGTGACTTAAATGTGGCTGTGTCTTTCCATTGCAGAGCGAGTTGACCAACCTACAGTGGCAGGATGTTCAAAATCGATTAATAGAGGTGCAAAAGGTCCATCAGATGTGTGTTCACAAGGAAGAATTAACAGAACTTGGTTTGTTTGTTTTTCTGTGTGTATGTGTGTGCTATTTTAAGTACTATCTTTTTTTATTGTTTTTATAGTTGTTCATGTTTTTTGATTGTATTATTTTTGTTATTATTTTTGCTGGCTGACTTGAAATTGCCATGTTATAGTCAGTAATACATCCTATAAGTAAAGAAGTTGTACATGTACATCAGTTGAATAAATTTTAAATTAGAAGTACTGAGAACATATAGTAGGATACAGTTCTGGATAATTATCACTCATGTTGATTGTTTTTTGTTGTTGTTGTTGTTTTCCAGATATTCATCATCGCATTTTAAGGTGGAAGAACTACATGATTGCGATGCAGAACAAGTCAGTTATTTCTGGTTCTTATAGTTTTCCATTTGTGGGTGAAAGGTAGGCTGGCTTTGAAAATGGATCTTTTCTTGGGCACTTAGCTACGTTTTTCAAGACTTTTATTGTACATGTGTGCTGAAGTTTAAATACCGTAGCCAGGGCGATTATTAATTTTTTCGCACAAAGGGGGGTGATTATTTGAGGGATGTGATTATTTCAAATATTGCTCACTGGAAGTCATGCCCTAAATAGTTTGTTTTATTATCCCATTAAAACAAAAAAAATGAGCACATGATCACATATGGGCTTTTTAAGTGTTCCAAATTTGGTTCCTTGCTTAATTATTTTCAATGTCAATATCCTCAGCGTCAAAGCTTGAATTCTCACTGATTGGTTTTGCTGGATCGGACTCTACAGTAACTTTAACTTGGCAGGGAGGGGATAAAAGAAAGAGAAGAAGACAAGAGGGGTCGGGGCAATTATTCAAGGAAACAGTCAGTAAGCAACCAACTCAGTTACACCCTTTGATGCAGTCAGTATTGCCGCAGGCAGTATTGCTGCCCCAGGATGGTTAGAGTTAAGAATGAATCACATTTTTTTCAAATACAGTTTGCAAGAAGGCTTCTAGATCTCTTCGAAGGCACTTCTTACTACAGTAAGGGAGGAGAATGTTGTTGAGAGGCTACAGGGCAGACTTGGTGGTCTGGAATTCCCCCACTGCCCCTATAAGGAATGTTGAATGATTATTGTTATCTTCAGTCCTCAAGTGCAAGCAGACAGCCTTGCGTAGACAACGATTATGCGAAACAGGATGTTGCCTAAGAACTGTTTACAGAGAATGTACATTACAACGAATTTAACAGCAATATCTAAATACTTGCATTATTTCAGTTGTGAAAGTGAATGAAATATTTTGCATTTTTAATCCACAGGGCGTTTGTAACCGAGGGAATGAAGTACAACTTAAAACTGATTTTATTCTGGGGTCCAGGAAGCCCTTTTCAGAACAACTGGAAGCTGAGAGAAGAATATAGGAATCCCGCTAATAGGTGAGTACCTTTATTAGGCAGGGAAAAAGTGTGCAAAACTTACAATTATTATTGTACAAGTCACATAAGGTTTGAGCTTATGCATAAAATAATAAGTTATTGTTTTTAGTGTTTGTTTGTAGTGTTTTTTTGTAGCATCAGATAGTGAAGAATTGTGGGTTTTTGATGCTCTCTCCTCTGTAGAGGTTCCCACTGGCTATTCCGATAAAAAATAGCAATAATACATTGAAAAAATAGCAAGCACAGAGGGGACAGTGGCATGCAAAGCAAAAAGGGGGATTGCTAGCGATGGGGGAAGGAGGGGGGAAGGGACAGGGAAAAAAATATAATTCCCCATATCCTTAGCTCCCGTAAGGAAAAAAATAAAAAAAATGTGTTGTTGTAGATTTAATGATAATAGAAAAACTGGCATGTGATGAGTAAGTTGATGGATATACTGGAATGAGCAAAATTGAAATGAGCATAATAATTATAAGGTTTTCAGTTTTGGACATGAACGTGATTAAAATGATTAAGATGGGAAGTTGTTTTTTCTTGTTACATTTAAACCATAAGATTAAAGGTGATTGAAATTGATTACTGTTTCTATCAGAGGCAGATGATGCCACTGACTTTATTTGATTCTGAGGGTTACTCCTGGGGTGTACTCCAGGTGAGCCACTGAGGGTTTGAAACCCTGAGCCTGTTTAAGTTGAACAAAATCCTAAAATACACCCTGTTTAGGACAACCGCCTCAATTTTATTACCATGTTTTTGCAGGCAATACCCTGTTTATAATAAGGACAGACTCGAGCGAATTATATACCCTGTTTAGGTCAAAAACCATACCCTGTACAGCGGCAAATCCCTGTATAAGACATATATGGGGCTTGCTGTAGTTTATTTATTCAAGACCCATGCAATTGCTGAGGTGGCCCCAAATGTGATCCCTGGTTGGCCAGTATCAATTAAGCCTGATAGAATTAACATAATTTTCGTGTTTTTGTCCTAGATTTGTTTTGGCGAATAGGTGAGTAAAAATATTGTCAGTAGTGTATGTATCATGTTTTAACTTGTGCATCGTTTAGTAAAGTTGATGTTTGTCATGATACTAATATTTCACTTTTTTACAGGCTTTCTCGGCGTATTTTCTGGATTGGAATAGCAAACTTTGTACTTTCCCCTTTTATTCTTCTGTGGGTTATTTTGTACTCCTTCTTTACCTATGCTGAGGTAGGTTTGCCTCATCTTTATAAGTTTTCTTGCATGTTTTTGTTGTTGCTGTATTAATGAATATTACATGATAGTGAGTTATTTGTGGACAGTTATAGGAGGCATATTAAAGTCCTTTTAAAGCACAAATTATAACCATTCACAGAGGTGAGGAACAAACTGCAAAAAATGATCATTCAAATGTTTTATACGCAGTTGTTCACTGTTTGAGCCGAGGTGGCGAGACAAATTATTATTTTAAACATTTTTCGAAAGCCGCTTTGTTAGTTGTCTTACATTTAAGAAGTTACAAGCTCTATGCCATTAAAATTACAAGTAAATGCGCTTTATTTTAACTTCATTCGGACTGTAATTCTGTTTATGTTTTATAACTCTTCTCCCACGGGAACCAATGAACCAGGCGAACGTAAACTTGCTCTTAAAATTTGACGTGAAATGCAAAATCAGTAAGCCTCGCGTAAAGTCGACTTTGCACTGTGTTACATTTTAACCCAGCTATTAAAGCAAAGTGGGCAATTAACGGAATATTGTTGCCAAAAATGTATCTTACGTAACTGCCTCCGCAACTTACTTCGTCACTGTTATTGTGAGTAAATTTAAAAATTTTCTCAGTTCTTTTATCGACTACCTGATATCTGAGAGCTCTGAGTATAAAAATACAGCCGTTAAAACACCAGAAATAATTCAAAAATATCAAAATAAATACTCACATTGTTTCACGAACGTGCTTTCCTCGCCATGTTGAAACACAAACTCGCCTGATGGAAAATGGCGGGAATATTATGATCACGTGGTACTTTCGCAGTTCGCGTTTGGCGCGAACTCTACTTCAGTTCAATCAGTTGCAAGTATTTTTTTTTTCTCTTTTTTTCGGCAATTTCGGATAAAATATAATGTGTGGTCACAGTATTTTCGTTCTGTTTAATAGTGGTTTGGCTTTTACGAGCTCTAAACTTCAAATAATCAATATCTGCGTAAAATCTGAGTCATTTTCTGTAGCTTCCCTAACAGTGGACTGCGAGTATTCTCCTCAGAGAAAAATGATTTCACCCTTCTCACACTTCTATCTACTTGTGATCAACTGCAAAACGACCTTCCTTGATATTTTAGAAATTCAGTTAGTCTATTTATCATGCAGTTTAAAAGTAACTAAATATGCTATTTGCATTTCACAGATGGTCAAAAGAGAGCCAGATTCCTTTGGAGCACGAAGATGGTAAGAAAATAAAAACGTTGCGAACATATATTTTTAAATGTAGGCTGCGAAGGTGATAAAAAAAGACCCTCAATTTATAGCCTTCACGCATCACATCATTCACATCATGGGTTGGGTGGGTACAGTAAGCTCATAAAGCGGCTGCCAGTGGCGCCTTTGTATGCTGACGTCCGAGCTTACTGTTCACATGTTAAAATGTATTGTAAGAGACACGTCTGATGTCCTCTCATCCACGACTTTCATTCATTCAAAGCGAAACGTATTCACAACCCGAACCAAATAAAATTGAAAATTTTGGAGAAGGCTGGCAGGAGTATTTACGATATGATAAAAATACTAAGATTGGTAAATTCATAACCCCAATGGACTTATTTACACTGTCCTTTACAGGTCTTCCTACGGCAGACTGTTTTTCCGTCATTTTAATGAACTGGACCACGAACTTCACACGAGGTAACTACATTATAAACCATACAAATCTGTGATATGGGGTTGTACGTAAAACCAAAATTTGCCCAAACCAAAATTCGGTAAACCAGTCAGGTCTCCGATCACTTTTGGAGCCCGGGTAGTGGGAGGGGGGTTGGGGGGTGACGTTTTGTACCCCCTACAACAATGGCCTATACGGGGAAGCTCCGCTGAAAAGGGGTACCTTTTCTAGGGTACGGGTATATGCTAAGGGTAGGAATTTGGGTAGGGAGGTCTGTCAATTCGGTCTTTAAAAGGGAGCAAAATGGCTAGCAGTTGAATTTTATGGCTGTGAAAAAGTCGAGGAAACGTACGGGTTTTTTTATTTATTCATATTTGAAGGACAGTGCATTTACAACAATGTAGGTATGTTAATTAAAGGGGCACCATTTGTCAGTGGAAGGTATACGAAATGATCATAGCACCTTTTGTATCAAAAATGGTATATCTCAAAGGGTAAAGTGTGTGGGCCTCGGGGCGGAGCCTCCCCGTCGTATTAAGCTTCGTTGAGTACCCTGAGAAACTCAATACAAGTAGACAAGCACAAGCAAGTACAAGCGATTGTGGTGTTGGAAACCTCGTTCCCAGGAAATTTCCGTTCGCTTTGAGGTCGGAGGTGATGGAAAAACCCTGGGATCGAGGTTGATTGCTTGGATAGGTTTTTTGTTTCAGAACCGCTCAATTAAGTTCGTTAGATTATTTGCGACGGAAGTAGTAAGGTTGGGAACCATTTGTTAAACTAAAACTCCCGGACGCAATTTTCAGGCTTTTTGGAAGCGGAAAGTCATAAAATATTGTTCCCAAACATTTTAAAAACAGCTACTCCTCTTTGAAATGGGTGACTTACTTTTCGGGCCTTTTATTTTGGTTGGTCGAAACTGGTTCGCTCAGTTAACATTGAACTCGGGGTGGAGGTTTTTTCCTCCCGATTGCGAGAGGACACGCAGGAATTTTGCAATTTTCTTCAGAAAAGATTTCGTTGAATTGAGTTCGCCCAACGGGTTTTCTGATGGTCTGTATCACTGTAATTTTTAAAATTATTCTTCGTATTATTTTGTGTTTTTGCAGATTAAGTAAAGCGTACGAGCCTGCCTCGAAGTACATGAATCTATTTGTCTCCCCTTTTATGGCCATCATTGCCAAGTAAGTGTGTGAATGCAGCCTCAGAAATTTTGGCCTTGCTCCCAAACACCCGCTCTTGACAGTGTGTGTGTGTTGTTTAAGATACGATAAAGCTATATAATCGCGGATTACCTTAGTCCTGTTCAGTATAACTATAAAGAACACGTATGCATTTCCGTGCGTGACCTAGCACACGCAAACGTGCGTGTTGTTTAGAATACGATAAAACTAATCCCGGATTACCTTTATCATGATCTGAACATCACGCACCCATGAACGCGTGGGTAGGAAATCAATGTTTACAGAGACGACGCATGGAAGTGCGTGCTTTTCGTTTTGAGCACGATTAAGCTTATCTTGGGTAATAGCTTTATCTTATCCATTGAAGAAAAAATACTGGCCGCTCTCCAGGATGAAGAATCTTAACTCTAGTGAACATATCCAGGCACAATTTGCGGTTTATGGACATCTTTTTAAAATTTTATGTAATAAATCAAACATGAGACACTGAGTCTCAAGAGTGATCACATCGATTTTCTCAGAACAACATTAATACATAATCAATAGAAAAGGAAATGAGAATTAATGTGTAAGGAAAAGTGTTTTGATCTTCAAACAATTTCTCTCTACTAACTCCTCCAGAAAATGTATTGAGATACGTTTGGAGAATTTGTGTTTGGATACTGTGGCTTAAAGGGTTAAACACCGAGAAGAGAGTTGAAAATACGACGCGCAGCGGAGTATTTTGATGAACTTCGCTTTTTTTTTTGGAAAATTGCGAGTGGATTTGTGCTGGGTCGTTTCCCATAAATATGATTTATGTATACTGTAGTCCCGCGGATTCTACATAGCCGCGGTCAGAAAACTGTGCAATAATTTTGTTCTACTACAATTCATGAACACAGCTAATTTCTGTGTTGTTTTCCCATAGAAACCTGGCGTTTTTTGCTGGTGCTCTTTTCGCTGTGTTAACAATCTTCACTCTTCTTGACAAAGATGTTCTGCTAGCGGAACATGTGCTTACTGCTATAGCAGTTTTAGGTGTGTAGTCGTAGTGTATTTTTATAGGCAAGCTACTGAACAAGGAACTTATGTTTCCATTATAGCCTCAAAACGTGCCTTGAAAATGGAGTTGAAAAAATACCGCTCAGATTCTTTTTAATAATTGTATTTTATTATTTATTAATAAATTATATATTTATATATCAATAATTGTTATTCTGAATCAATTTATTATTATGATAATTATTTAAAATTTGTTATTTTTTTATTTATTCTTTGTTATAATTAGGCTTTGTTAGTCGTGCAGGCACGATATATGATATTAAGATGTTAAGAACTGTGTGAACAAAACCACTTTCTTAGGCTATGTTCACACTCTAAACGATAGCTTTTGCCATGAAAATCGTACCGGATACGGCTTCTGTTCACACACAGAACGGTGATTTCGACGCGATTTCTGTGACAGAGAGAAACTGCGCCGCGTATAGTTTCTGTGCCATACGTTGGTGCAGTATGAATACCTTGTCAGACCGTCCCGGAAGTGAGTAAGTAGGAGTGAGTACTGGAAACCACTGAAACGGAAGTAAATATTAAGGCCCTTTGCTCCGGCACGATAGGGAGCACGACGACGACGACAACTTCAAGAAACAATAGATTTAATGATTAAAACAACAGCTCTGCACGTGCATCACACTTTTAGCACACTTCTTTGACGTCCACTGCACGACTACGACGTGAAACCTCCTAATGTGACGTTTTATGGAGGACGTGGACATACGACGACGAATTTTCCTTCCTCTTTTTGAACTTGAATAAAATCCTTAAGAATTCAACTCCAGGAAAAGTCACCTGCATTTGACATATTGAGCGGGTCCAAATAGACGCGATTAAGTTTGAAAGAACGCACATAAATTTTTTTAGCTACATTTTAACTGCCGTCGTCGTCGTTGGTTAAGGTCCCAGATGTTCGTACCATACCTTACAGCTTTTCGCGGTGGCACAAAAAGATATCCAGTATAGCGTGAACACAGCCTTAATTAGTGATAAAGAAAATATCTGCAAGTGAAAGCCTAGCCTGCGTGGCAGACGCTTGGAAGTAGTGGGCGAAAGAGAGAACGGGCGCGCGCGAGGGAGACACGCGTGTCTCCTTGCGTGTCTCCTCGCGCGCCCGTTTTTTTTTGTGCCCACTACTTCCAAAGTGGCATCCTAGTGAAAGCACCCTGAATACACTGTAGGCTGAAACAAACCAGCTGGATCCACTTGGTCTAATGTGAAGTAAACGGGCTTTTAAGTGGGAAGATATGGTGTTTATTTCACGATTTCAAGTACTTATAATTGTCTTTTCTCACTGGTTATTTTCTTTTTCAGGCATATTAATACGTATTTGTTACATATTCATACCTGACGAGGTAGGTGTATTCTCTGAAAGTATGTGGTGTATTAAATGGGTCGGCCATGTCACGCCATTTTCTATACCTTTTTAAAAAGCTATCCGCGTGTCTTCCTATCAGTTGAATTCCATAAATTAATGGTACAGTTTTGTTTTTGCGGGCGACAAGAGGAGCCTGCAATCCTAATCTCCAGGTCGTTATTACACATGCGTCGCATGCGTCTACCATAGGCTGATTTAGCAACTGGACGGGAACGTCAGTTGACGACGGAAAAGCGCGCGGAAAGGAGTAAACACGACTTCCGGTGCCCAATTTGCCGCTCTGCCATTGGTCAGGCCAGTTGTTTGATTTGCGTGCGCCGTCGTCAACTGACGTTCCCGTTCTTTTGATAAATCAGCCTTATGTAGCCAGCATTCGTTTGGACTTCCACTAAGAATGTATGGAATGCACAGAACGCACTTTGATCACGCGCGTTTGGACCTTCTATCACTCGTTATCTGATCACGCGTGTTTTGACCATCTGTCACGTGAAACTTACGCAAAGCACAGCGCTGGACTAAGAGCCAACGTTTTCAAGTTTTTAACTTTTTGTGGCTTTTATACTTACAACTGGTACTGTATATTTTCTTTCCCAGAACACGGTGTGGGATCCGGAGCAGCTGCTGAAGCAGATTGTGTCCCATACACATTACATCCCCGATGAGTGGAAGGGGAAAGCTCATACCAAGGAGGTAGGATTGAGGGGGTAAACAACAAAGGTTAATACGGGGAGGCTCCGCCCCGAGGTCCAACCCCCTACCGCTCCCTTTTATACACCATTTTAGGCAGAAATTGTACCCCTTTCGTATATCTTTTATTGACAAATGGTACCCCTTTCACATACTTGGTTTAGAACGCTGCTTCCTTTTAACTGCTGTAAATGTTATGTCTTTTAAATTAAATTACAAACCAGGAAGTTTTCTTGATATTTTCACAGCCATAAAATGCATCTGTTAGCCTCTTTGGAACCTCTTACACCCCGAAATGAAAGATTTCTCTACCCTTTCGTATGCTCATACCATATACCAGTGAAATCCCTACCGTTTTATATACCTGAAGCCTTAAAAAGGTACCCCTTTCTGGCGGAGCCTTCCCCAAAAAGGCCATTATAGGGAGTAGCCCCCCTCCCCCCCGCCCCCCGGGATATCTCCTTACTTAATTTTCAATCATTAAGCTTGTCTTTTTGTGTCCTCGACATATTTCAGTTGCCATGCTTTACAAGCCCTCTTTTCGCTAAATTAGATTACTAAGGTATAGGTAGTGGGATACCAATATACCTAAGGAAACAAGTGTACCCCATAGGCCTCCTACCGAAAAAACCTGCCGGGGAGACTGCTTTTTAGTGGTTCCTTCATTAAAAGTTATGAGTTTAAAGATGCATTAACATAATAGTATTCTATTATTCTCATTTCAGGTTCGAGAAAAGTTTTCTCAACTATTCCAATACAGAGCGGTAAGTTATTAAAGGGAAGTCACGCAATGTCCCCTTCACACATGCAAACCTGTTTTGCAACAAATCACGATGTTGCAGGTTGCGAAAGGCTGTTGTAGAAGGTAGAGAGTAGTTCTACTTTTTGCAACAAAATCATTACATGTTGCGCGTTTTACCGGCCCAAGGCAAACTCTGTTTGCAGCAAGTGACGTAACCTCCGTGTATGGCTCCACTCCCGCGTAATCCTATCCAGTCAAAGGTCAGTATTCACGCAACCTGCAGCAACCTGACTTTTTGCAAGACAGATTTTAACGTGGGTGGTAGAACGCGCCACTCGATTTGCAACAACTCTTCGTTCTTCGAAACAAGTTGCACGTTTTTGTCTACCGTTTTACCGTAGCTTTAAAGGACGCATCACTGTCGCGCCCTGTCCTAACTTTAACCTGCCGTTTTCATGTACAGGAATACGTGTTACAAGAGCTAGTCAGCCCTGTAATCACCCCATTCCTTCTGTGCTTTAATTTACGCTACAAAGCTCTGGACATAGTGGATTTCTTCCGAAATTTCACTGTCGATGTTGTTGGTGTCGGCGATGTGTGTTCATTCGCGCAGATGGACGTTAAAAGACATGGAAATCCAGAGGTGTGTTAAACTTTCTTTCCTCAAATTTGAATAAATCAGATTTAAAACAGTATGCAACAATTTGTGCCCTTGAGTTGCAAGAAAACAGTGGCTGGTATATTCAGATGTCTGACTGACGCATATGCAGTATTCGCGTATTCGACTAGTTCCACAATCCTGATGAAGGGATTTGTGTAAACAGTCTTTCTGTGCGTTATTTACCTGCCCTTTGCAGTGTTTTAACCTAGCCCTCCAGCTCTTTGCCGAATCGATTGAAAGATGATCTTGAGGGAGACATCAATCTGATCCATGTAGCCAGCGCTAAGGGGAAAATCACTTGCGAACAAGTCACTATTTCCTTTGGTTTTCATGTCATTGGTTAAGAAATTTAACCAAAACAGTTACTCTGTCCAATCACAACCAAGGAGTACGATCTAGTGGACCAATCAAGACTCAAGCAAATGCTTGTAACCGGTGCTAAGGGCAGAAAAAGTGGCGGGAAATTATGAGTGGTTTGCATTTGTTCTGTTCAATCGAGACAGTGGGGAAGAGCCTTGTGACCAATCAGATGCTTGTTACAGAAGAAGCTGAAGCTCAGCGCGGGAAAACTGACGGAGAGACGTAACGTTTGGTTTCCAACTGTGCCCCGATTGGTTGAAAAATGACGGAAGTTCCGCTTTTTAGTTTAGCTTTGACACTGAACTAAAAGATGCCCCAATCCGCAGATTTATCACAGTAAATCGTTTTCTTATTATTCGTAGAATATCTTAAGTGGGCTTGTGGCAGTACTTGTAGAGCTGACATGGAGAGAAGTTTACATAACAAAGGTCGATAGACATAGCTTGTTCCGGGTATTTTGTCTTCTGATCGTAATTTGATTGTTTTTTTATTCTTTTAGTGGCTAAGTGAAGGCTTGACACAAGCAACACAATATGAGCAAGCTGAGCATGGCAAAACGGAACTTTCGTTAGTTCATTTCTCTGTAAGTATTGCGTTTCTGTTTTCGTCTTGAATTCAGATCGAAATGCCCACCAGTTTCCTTTGTTTACAGATAAAAAATCCCAAGTGGAAGCCGACAGACCAAGGCGCGCAGTTTATTAGTACAATCAAGGAAAATGGTGAGTGTGAAACGTTCAACTCTTTCACTGCCAGAGTGCTGGATAGAGTCTTGTAAGTTAACTCTATCTTTTGAGTCTGCGGACCAAATACGACAAGGAATTTGAAAATTTGGTCGAAATTTGCTTTTGGCTAAATTTGGCAGTGAAAGGGTTAAATACTACAGTATGTTTAACCTGCGTCGTAGACGTAATCAAACCCCGGTTAGTAACGTCTGCAAAGTAGCGCCGATATCCTTGTTCCGGGCCGCCAACGGACTCAACAACTTACCGGAAATGCGTTTTAGATTTCCCTTCAACCTAATTGGCAAATGGACAATGGCTTTTTTAACAGTCCAATCATGGCGCGTACTCAAATCCTGGTACACAGGTGGCGGCCCAGAACAAGGATTTCGTCGCTGATTTGCAGACGTTACTAATCGGTGTTTAGTTTCGTCTGTTGCGCAGGCTATAGTAGGTTACAACTTTAACAAAGATTGGAGGGTCTACTGTGGGGCACTTTTTAGTTTTTTGCGGGTCCTAATTTTTGCTATTTGGAGAATTTTTACGTCGCGCAAAAGTTGACTCCACGGCCTCAGTTATGTAGTTTTATATACTCATGAAGTTTTTATGGTAGACTTATGCTTATGCACTATTGTTATTTCAGCGGTTCAAGAAGGCATCAATCTGAGCAACAGCGCTGCATTATCTGAACCGAGTTCCCTTCAAGATTACAGGACAAGTAGTGTAAGTAATGTCAGAAGTCAACCCGGAGGGGTTCTCCCTATGATGGCCAATACAGGGAGGCTCCGCCCGAATGGGGCACCTTTTTCAGCCTTCATGTACATGAAAGGGTAGGGGTTTCACTAGCTGAAGTATATATAAAGGGTAGGGAAATCTGTCATTTTAGTGTGTAAAAAGGGCTATTAAATAGATGCATTTTATGGCTGTAAAAAAGGTCGAGAAAAGGTATCGGTTTTGTGAATAATTCATAATTATTTGAAAGACAGTGCATTTACTGCAGTTAAATGGGATGCAGCGTTCTACGCTAGTATGTCAAAGGGGTACCAGTTGGTTGATCCAATCACAACTAGACACAAAAAACTGCGTGAGCTCGGGCGTCCGTATGAAAAAAATTGAAATGAGAAAACTTCATCTGAGAAATCACAATCCTCAAAGGCCGCCAACGTATATCGAAATATCAACAGTCTGTTTGCATGAACATCTGGAAACGATGCTTGAGTGACTATAACGTATTAGATTGCAGTAATTGTATATCAGAGGACATAAACTGAAAACAAAGGAAGATAAAATCAGTGACATCATTGCACAGAGAAAGGATAACTGCTAATTGAAGTACTCAATTCATTTTCTGTTTCTTCTTCCGCAAGGCAACTAAGCATAAATATGGAGGCATTCCCAGTGTCTTCGACAAGACTCTTGAGTTGAAGTTTTCGTGTGTAAGAAGTGACAGAATTCATTCTTGTGATCACTGAGTTTTATACATCGAATACAGATGGCTTTGCTCGTCATGTCTCAGGCAGCACCGTGCTCTGGTTTAGTCCGCTGACCTATTTACGCATACTCTTATATCTTGCGCACGCGTTGTATGCACCAGAGGGCGTTGCACGAAAGCCCGAGCAACAAGTCCAATTTGGAGCGGCACTATCGCTTACTACTAACTTCACTGCTATAGGAACGAACTGATAGCCTTGTGAAGCTGTAGAGATAGCTGACCATTCTTGTGTTGTCCTTAAGTATTTTTCTTGCTTTTATGGTTACTTTTCAGTTTCAAGGCTTGCCTTATATGAACCCCATGAGCCTTAGCGATCCCTCTCTTGCTCCACTGGGAACTGCCGCTGGGACACCCCAACAGCAGGCTCAAGCACGTGAAATGCTGATGAATTCAAGTATGATGTATTTACACGAGGTAAGATAACACTGAAACAAACCTTCCCGTCTTACCATCGTGACATCAAGGGACTTTATGATGCCACGACGGTGACGACAACGGGAACGCCGAAAAAGCAATAGGTTGAACAGGCAAAACAACAACTCTGCACGTGCTTTTTTGTACATTTCTTTGCCGTCACTGCACGACTGCGACGGAAAAATGCCTAATTTCAAGTTTTATGAGGGACATAAACATGCGACGGCTAAGTTTTCTTTCTTTTTCTGTACTTGAATATGATTCTTAGGAATTCGGCTCAAAAAGTGTTCGCTTGCATTTGACAAAGTAAACGAGTCTGAGTAATCGCGATAGAGGTTGAAAGAACGCAAATTCGCTTTTTAAGCGACGTTTTCGTAGCTGTCGCCGTCGTGGTATCTTAAACTCCCTGGCGGTTGGTGAAGTCCTGACGGGGTCAGCGCAACAGCTGAGTCTTGCCTACCTCCAATCGCTCCCCATCCCGACAGCTTTTTCAACCATCCAAAAATGTAAAACAGAGCAAACAAAAGAGGCTCATCAAATTCAAAAGGGATAGATCATCTTTATTAATTGACTTAAGTTCCGTAGCAAGTTCAATTTAATGTTGCCGAACATTTCTCTCGGTAGTTAGAGAAGAACACTCCGTGCTTATGAGGGATTTATAAAACGAAAAGTTTTTCTCTTTTAGTTAAGAGATCGTCAGGTTGAACACTCTGGGCTACCTCGAGGAAGCAGTTTGACGACAACAGCGGTGAGACATGCACCATCATCATCTGCGCCGATTGACGAAGAAAACATCAGTGAAACAGAGGTGTTAAGGTTTGTTTGATTAGAAAATCATTTCCTTTTTATAGCTCACCATAATTCAGGGTTTGTAAAAAAAAATTGGAATTCAAGTCACATTTTTCTCGCATGGTGTCATTGAATTTCTTTCTCAGTGTATGATTTAGTTAGAAAAAGACTTGCCTGTGATCTGGCAGAAAAATCTAGTTTTCCGGGGACGTTTCTTCGAGCCCTGCAAAAGGAGCACTTCATTCTGGCTTTCCCGCTCCCAGACAAAAGATGGCCATGAATCCACTTTCAATTTTTTTTAACTTGGAAAAAGGTTACATTTTGCTATGCTAATCACAATCCGACAATAAAACATAGGGGTGAGGACTGAACAACTCGTTCTTGAGTTGTTGGCGCTTGAAGCTTAAATTAAGGGTGTTTTGAACCAGGTATCCTGTTCCTATGGTAACGTCTTGCGTCAGGTAAATTATTGTAACTTGTAAGTGATGATTTAGCAGTTGTTGAATACCATTTTTATAAAATCAACCCAAAAGAGAGTGGTAATACTGACCTCATCAAAGTAGAACTGCTTAGAAAGGCAACTAGAAAACCATTTTGAGCCGTACCTCGGCATAACGAACTACATTCTTCAGTCTTGTTATACATGTGGTTCAATGCATTCAACGGGGTCCCGACCGCTAAAATGAACTTCGTTCTCAGTCCGTTAGTACTTTGCTGTATGTGGGTTCGGACTTTTTATCTAACTTCTTAATAATTTTGCAGTCCCCGGCTTATTACAACACTGTAAATATTTTATCTTTTGCAGAGACCACGAGCGAATGGTGTAAACTTGTAAAGATCGGTAGGGAACTTTTAAATGAAACTCTGAGGAAATGTCAAGAGTGAAGAGCGTGGTTTCATAATATACTGGATGTCGTTCAAACTGTAAAAATGGGAACGTTGTGATCATCTTCCGTAAAATGACCCGAAAGTGGTCTTTACTGTTTCAAAGTTTTAATCACCAATGAACCCATTGTGTGAAGTCTGGTGATAAGTACTATTTGCCGCGGCAAGCAACTCGACAAGTTGCAAAGGGCGTCGCTTTATTCCAACTCAACGTGTCCGCTTATTGAGGATCTAGAACGTTGGCTTCAAGTTTTTTGGCTTAGATATCTAATGTATGAAGTAGGTTTTTAAGGGAACGCGTTTGGTAATGTAACTTTTGTCGTATACTTCTATTTTAAAAGAATTAAATTATTCAGGCATGCATATATTTGGATTGTAAAATACAGTGTAATCAGTATATTGAATATAGCACCCATGATTTGTTACAAAATTTGTTTGCACTCAGACAATGAAGGGTTTACATAATGGATTGAGTTAACGCAAAATAAAGCGGTATATTTTCTACAAAAGAGCCCTTTTCGTTGCTAAAACATCGATTTGTAGTAAGTAAATTTTCGCAGAGCACATTTGTAACCTCAGTCGTCACGAGGAACAAAGTTAAGGGAGGAAACCGGAACTGGTAGTGAAGTACGCGTCCCGAGTATCAGCTAGGGGAATGCGGGGTAAACCACCACCGGGGGAGGTGGGAGAGGCAAAGCTATGCCGTTAATAGCAGTCATGTTCCGTTTAAATAGTGGTGAAAAGTTGTACCGGGCAGAAGGGTCACCCGACCGCTTGTGCTACCCTTGGTGAGCCATGCAACTTTTCATACACTTCCTCAGAAAAAGTGATGAATCGTTTACATGAGAAAAAAAAAATTGGTTCCACTAAAAGGGTGACCCACTTGGCCCACTCACCCTCCTAGCCAGAAGTTAACATTATCGCAGCACACCCTAAGGGTAATTTTTTTAAACAATTTATTCCTTTACTTACTTCTGATAGAAGTGTATTTTCAAGACTGAGCGTTTTACAACTCTTCGTTGATCTATATTATAATATAACAATACTTCATCCTGGCATCTGTATGGCAGTGTGAACTTTTTATATAAAAAATTTATATATGGCGGTTAAAAAAAGTACAAAATCTATGATTATATCTCTATAAGAACTGGACACTGTGAGACGTCTTAATGGCAAGCAAATATTGCTCACGACGAAAACATTTCTACGCTAAGTATTCAAAACAACAGATAAAATAACCGCTTAGAGGCGAGGGCAGAAAAAAATCATTTTGGGTTGGGAAATACGCCGGCTAAAAATTTCTGAAATTTTAATTCCAACAGTGCAATTTACAGCCATGTAGAAAGGTAGAAAAGTATGTATGTATTTTACTTCACTTTGTTCTTGTCTTTTCTTTTTTCTTTTGGATTAGCGTTTGAATGGTCGAAAGTAGTCCGGTAATCTTTGTGCTCTCCGCAGTTTGTTATAAAGGTTTGTTCTTTCTTCGTTTTACTCAAAAAGAGCATCCGCAAACTGCAGCTAAACAATTTGGCACTACCCTTATTATAGAAAATTAATGCTCCATGAATTTAAAGTATTGGAAATAAACGCGGCTTAAATTAACGCGAATTTCATGGAAAACGACTATCGAATAAATGAAATTAACGCGGAAGAGAGAGTAACATTTCAAAATGAAGGTAATTAACCTACACAACAGGAGCAAAGTTAAACGATAATCCGAAAGGGAAACTTTGTTCGTGGTACTTTCCCTAAACGTACGAAGAGCGTCAAGCAAAGAGATCTTGCCAATTCGAAGATTCTTCACAGTTTCACTGATACTAGCGGATCTCCACCCTGATAAAATACTCCTCTTTCTTAGGTGTCAAGAATGTCAGAAGCGTATCGAGAATTTGGGGCGAAAATAATGGAAATTGACGTTGGTAACCGGTCATTTCGCCACGGTTAATTAGGCCCCTCTTTTCGAGTCAATTAGCGCGCTTGAAAATGTAATATTCCTCATTCTATAAGCCAGAAAGCAAAACAAACGCGCTTCAAATGTAATATTCCTCGTTCTTTAAGACATAAACCAAACAAGGACACTTCAAATATAATATTCCTGTCTTAAATAGGGGGCTAAGTAACCTGGGCCAGAAGCATATATGCTTCTGCCTGGGCGAAATGACCGGTAACCTTAACGTTTACTGAAAATAACGCGACTCATGAAACATTAATTTCCTATAATAAGGCAGTCCGTGAGCTTTACTATAGATCTACTAATCCCTTGCTCTCATCGTCTTCGATCTCCAAGTCGAAATACAAGTCGTCCTCGAGCATTTTTAGTCTGGAGTAGCCATAGTCTTCAAATCGAATCTTCGCCCTCTTTCTCATTCGACGGTAACAATAGTTCGCCACAATGAGGGCTGCCCCGATGCAGATAACCATCGCTATACAGATTCCCACTATCAGACTCCCTTTAGAAGACGTTGATGAACTTGCAAGAGATGTTGGAGGTGCAGCTGTTTGCCAAGACGATGGACACTGGAAATGTATTTTATATCATGGGTTACGTAACCTTTTGCGGAAGGTCTTGCATAGTATGTTGTAACAATAATTGAATACTAGCGGAGGGTTGGTGTATACATATATAATATTGCGGAGATTTCATTAAAGTTTATTCGCGTCGTTCGACCGTCCCTACGCTCTCGAAATTAAATACCCAATGAGACTTTGGGCTATTAGTTTTTTCACAAACGTATTTATAAGCCAAGCCACCATGTGTAAGATTTGGCGCCTTTATTGCATCCTTGTTATATGAGCATGGTTCAGATTGGCTTGTTGTCTCTAATATTACTAGTTGTTTTCTTGTAATATTTTTACATTTCATACTTTCTGCGTGTTTGTTAACTTATTATCATGGATTTTGCTTGTAAAGACATTAAGACATACTAAAGAGGGTCGTACACTGCTCGTTTTGACACACCCCAAAGGTGGTTGCTTATTACATGATAAATTTTTAATACTCGTTTGAGCAGGGCAGCGAAAAAGGAATTAGTATATAACTGTTCAGTAGTCAAGAACATAAAAACAGCACACACCCCAGCCTATTTGTATTTCCTAGTGGCCATTTTGAGTGCGTGCGAGAGAACTGGGTTTGAGTGGTGTCGAATTGCATTATGGGACTGTTTTGGGTGCACTAGAGCTTCTTTTATTGGCTGTTGCCTGCTTTCAAACCGAGGAGAACTGGGTATGAGTCCCTGTATTGTGGGATAAACAACAACACCCACTTTGCGCCTTAGGTCACGCACGTGGTCATTTTCGTGTCTTCCGCGTTTCGCTCAACGGACAGAGAAAAAGGAGAAAGGGACTGCCCGTTATTAGCCTCACCTTGTTACTCTGTGAACAGGCTGCAGGTCTTTTCACTTGACATGTCGAGTTACTTTCTTGCACATAAACAGCATAACTGCCACTTGGTGGATCGATGCTGCAACGAAGAGTATGCCAAGGTGTCAGTACAAGAACCCCAGGAGGGCAGGGTGGGGTAACTCCCTAACATAAGCCACAAGCAGGCCACAAGAAAATTTGCCATCCCTAAGAATATGGCTTTGCGCCGTTTCGGTCTGCATATGGGTATAGGCCTTACAAATATATTATTTTTGTATGAAACCGGGTATGGTTTTCGAGGGAACTATGGGAATGTATGAACATATCTCTCATTTCAATTCCAAATTAATAAGAATAAAATAGCAATTTGAGAATTTCAGATGGATTTTAAGAAATCTTTTTGTTGGCATTTTGACCCAAATAATAATGACATAATTTATTTCTTAGTGGACAGGTCTGAAGATGGGTGAGGAAAATGACACTTTTTGGTTTGAAATAAGTTCAGGATTTGGAGAACTGGGCAGCACACTCCCACCAAGAATTCACCCCCCCCCCGCAGGACAAGAACGTATTGGGGTAATAGCTATCGAAGCTAACATATTCAAAGCACAATGAATAACGTGATCTGATCTTTTTTCAGACCCGAAAAAGTCGTTGGTATCCACTTTGGGAGGTTAACCCATTCCCTCCTGGGAATATTGCAAAAATCGCATTTTGAAGATAGTCGAGCTGCTTTCTGGACACTGTCTGGCTATATTCAGCCAAAACTACCCAAAACGCTGTTTATAAGACAAGCCGTTTGTGGCCTTCCGTTCCAGATGCAAAAATATTTCAGTAAAATATTGAGTTCCGGATTTCAGGCATTCTCAGAAAGCATTTCATTCTCTCCTCCCATCTATTTTGCCTTTTCTTGCATCCACCCCCTCCCCCCTTTTTTTTCCTTTTGCTGGTCACTTACTAGGCTTCATTTCAGAGGAAGAAGTTTTTGGGAAAGCTTTTAAAAGGATCTTAGGATTAGATTTTTCCATTCACTGTGTCATAGTTTTTTTCCCTTTTCTATGGCCTCCTTGACTGAAACATACTAATCATCATCTCTCATCATCTCTCCTCCTTCACAAGTTAGAATAAGATGTAAAGCTGTCTTCGCCCGTTAAAACTGATGACATCACAATTAGCAAAACAAGGGATGTGGATCTGCAGAGGTGCCTGGTTACGGGCGGTTCAGGGGCGAATGGGCTAAAAATGAAGGGTTTTAGGTGGAATTCCTGGGACTGCAACACAACTTGGTATCCGTTATTCAATGTACTGCTTCTGTTTACCGTTGGATTGAGCATTATCCAGCTGAGATTTGACTGTATGACAATCTTTCTTTGTTAATAAAACACAAGGGTTACTGACCTGAAACAATCCATGATGCCAGAGACTGAACCAACACAGCATCCAAGCTTGTCATAAAACCACTGCAAGTCCTAAAGTTTAGAAGTAAAGAAACCCAATATAAATCCTTCCAAATGATTTGAACGGAGTCATCAGTGCATATAATAATTTATTAGTTATATCTCACTGCTAATTTGCTCTTAAACCAGCTGAAATTGAGCAAATAAACAGTTTTTGTCTTGGTATTTTCACCCAATCCAATAATTTCTACTTTTTGTGACATTATCACTTCTCAACTCTATGTCAGGATGATATTTGGCATTCATCTCCTTCCATTTTTCTATGCACAGTTTTTTACAATTGCATAAAACCTACCTTCTGACAGGCAGTTGAGCAGTTGTGTCCCACTGAAATCTCTTTGCATTCCTATTAAAGTTAAAGGCTAATTATTCAATAATAAACAAGTTGTTTTAGAAAAAAATATATGGAAAAAATTATCTAAGTTAAAATAAATTTTCCAAAAACAGGTTCAAATTAAACTCTTAAATCTGAAAAGAACTTTTTTCAACAAGAAACCAAGAAAAACTCAGCTAATTAAAAAGGATAAGGGTAGATTTTAGAACTGATTCCCAACATACATATATTACTACACCTTTTTATTCAAACCTACAGGTATTGCAACCCACATTTAAGTAGCTTTTACTGAGGCCTCTAAGGGGGGTTACATATGTCCCTAGTCTGAATTTCAAAAAACTGATCCTTTCTAAAGAAGGCAGCCCTGCCAAGTGGTCGGCGGGAGCATTGGACTTGCAGTCTGGTGGTCCTAGCCCCACTTCCTGCTCTGGCCACTCACTGGATTTGTTCAAAGTCGTCCCGGGTTCAAATCCTCAGCTACATGTACACTTGTAAATAGCACACTGGTTGCCTCCTTCCAGTTGGGGTTTTTCATCTTGCTATGTTTTATTTGAACTATTTGTTTCTAAGTATTTGAGTGGAGTGCCTGTAAACTAGCTGGATAAGCTAAGTGCACTTTCCGCTATAAACAAACCTTTAAACCCTTTTTTTGTGTATTGAGGAGGCGGCCATATTGCTGTTGGTATTTTACTATAGTTACATCACGTTGCTATGGTAGCAAAATTTCTGGATGACAACAAACCAAAAACATCACTTAAAAAGTGAATTCGCACTGTTTCAAACTTCGACGATCTTATTCAATTTCATTTTTGACAAATTAAAATTTGTCAAATGATGGCAAAATTTTCTGGGGTTAAATCCAAAAGGACCGTTTCTACTAAAGTCTAGAAAAAGAAAAGAAAAATTTTGTGTTGTGCTCACCTACTTCATAAAGCGGGTGCATGAAATTACGAAGTTTCACATCGCAGCCCTGCAACGATGGCTAAGAAACGTACAAAAAAAGTGAAGCACATGCAGAGTTGTTGTTTTGCTGGTATAAGCCTACTGCTTTTTTTCCAGTTTTCTTTACCATCACCAGTGTCATTGCTTAAGCTACCTACTGCAAGTTGTGATCCAGAAATTTTGCTACCACGGTAAATCTGGCATCACACTTCTCCTCTCTATTGCATTTGCAATTACTGTTCTTTGTCATTGTCACAGCTTGAACCCGTCTTCATGTCGTTGGTCAACAGTTCATCTAGTCTTATGTCACTGTTTCAAGGCCACATCATTTGTCAGAATTTTACCTTAACAGGGCCCCTTTAATTTGCTATTATTTCTTATTGAAACTGTGATAAACTGTACCTCATAATTTGATGAATTTTTCTCAAGTAATCCAGAGATAAACTTGTCTCCACAGGACATTGAGTTGTCTTTCTTAATGCACATTGATTTGAGAACTTCCAACACAAACTGAATGTAAGTTCTCTCTTTTTCCTGTTATATAAAAAGAAGGTACCAATATTTATAATTTTTTTCTTCAGTATTTTTCACTTTGTTTTGGGAGAACATAAGGCCAAAATTAAGTTCAGCACAGAGCTAATAACAACTAACTAACATGTTGGACAAGTACAAATAGAAATTTGGTGGCCCAATGACCGGGGGGGGGGGGTACTTCCATATATGGGCTACATAGGAATGTTCCACTGTGAAGGGAATGGTTTCCAAAGCAATTTACTCTGGGATAGGGTATATAAATCAGAGAGTTTGGGTTTAGAATAGGGTATCATTTTCCAAGAAAATTGATCAATTGGTTGTAGATTTTAGTCTAGACTAGGGAAACTGGGAATTGCCACTCAAAAATATCAAAAAATCAAATCGGCAAGTTTCAATTACCTACCAGTAAGCAACTCAGCCTAAAAGCTACTCTAGGATAGGGGGGGATTTGGGGAGTTTAGTCTAGTATAGGGTAGCAAAATTCAGCTGAACTACAACAGCTCTGGCAATACATGGAACAGATTCAATTTGCAGGTGAAGGCAGCTGGTAAGACTGATGATGTTAGGATTAGGATTAGGATTTAAGTTACAAGACTCATCATCACGTCGGCAAATTAGTCGAAGGCTGGAAAGGGGGAAGGCCACTCCCACATGAACATGACACGGATGCCTCTCCACTACAGGAAGACTGATCTGGGCATTACTTTTAAAGGGTTTAATTATTTGACTTCTTATAAGGAGACTGTACTAAAACAGATTACCAGAAAAGAGCTTTAACAAGTTGATAAGACCTTGACATTGACTGCCGTATGCAGCAGAGTACAAAGATATTTGGTTTGTTTTATAAGAACAATGACCTTTATGTACAACTCTAAGCGATACTGGTATGGGTAAAAATGTAGGCTTTCTATCTTCAGTATCTCTATTTTTCTGCATTTGACTTTGCAATTAGCAGGAAAATATGCTCTCATTGGTATCTTGTGTTTGTTTAGGCATGTGCCCTGGTATGTGGATAGTTAGCATTGGTATATATTTGGGTGTGCAGGTATGGTCTTTCATCTTGGTCTTACTGTCGCAACGTTCAGATTCCTTGAAGTGAGCTGCACCCTTGGGTTGTGTATGTTTTGTGTTGGTCAAACTGAGATTTAGAGGAGAGTGAATGATACTAAAATCTGCAATTTACACCTGTCATGAGCATCCCTGTGTTTTTTGTATTGGAGTCTCTTACCCTCCACCCACCCACCCATCCACCTACCAGGGCAAATCTGGTGTGGATGCTCAGGAGCTCACACATTCTCTACATGCGTAAGTACCATTGCGATGAAATTAAACAGGGTCTGAAAGGGTATTGCCATGATCTGGGATCAGGGCATACTACAGGGCTGGATTTGGGAAAACGTTGACAGGATCAGTTTACCTACATCGTTCTAAGGCCCGGTTCAGATGCCGTTCCACTCATGTGCTGAACCTAACTGATGAATTAAGTACGGCAAAAGAGCGGCGTCTGAATCAATTTGGTGCGGCAGTTTCAGTTTGGTGCGGCAAAAGCGTTAGTTCGACAGAGTCTGTCGAACTTTTGTCGTCGAACTTACCTTAGATTTGACACACGGTACACTGTCTGAATCAGATGTCGCGCCAGTGTCGCTCCAAAGTCGAACTTATTCAGTTAGGTTCGGCACATGAAAAATACGGCGTCTGAACCAGGCCTAAACCTCTTATTTCATTGGTCCCCTTTAATCTGCACTTCAATTCTTTTCAGGGATAGGGGCATTGTTATGTCACAATCCTTATTGTTTTCCCAGCCAGTCACAAACAATCTTTCAAATAGGTGCAGATCGCCCCAACAGGATAAAGGATTTGACTGCTACTTGGGGAAGAGGGATTCGGCAAAATTTGGGCAGGAAATGTGGATTAGGAAAGACAACGATTTTTGGGATAGTGATGACAAAAGTTCGGAGTGTGGGTTTCTCCAGAGAAAGGAGTGGGAATGCGGGGTCGAAGGCCCCACTTTCCAGACCTTGTTAAATAATACTTAAATTGGTAAACATCAAATAAATAAAATTGGTATAATTACCTTTAAATTTGATTGCCTTTGCTGAATACATCCTTTTGCGAGTGTCTCCAATGTCTGTAAGCATTTTTGCGCACACAATTTTTTTATAATTTTTTTGCTCTGTACCTCCTCAAGCCATCCTTTGAAGTTTGGGTTTGATTTCACAGCATTATAAAAGCAGCTATAGCTGCCGCCTGGGCAAAGTTTTGAGGGGGCGGGTTCAGGTTTAGAGGTCGTTTCGTTGGCAGAAATTAAACCGCAGTCTTTAAATGTCTTGCTGAAGGCTGGGCACTGCTTCAAGATATCATCTTTCAAAATGATTCCATAAGGCCTCACAATAATGCTGAAAATATCCGTGTCGTTCAGCGAAAACAAAGCGAAACTCAAACGGCAGAGGTAAAAGTGCAAAAGCAAGACAGTTAACCTAAAACAATTCATAGCGAATGCTCAGAAAAGTCCCAAATTTACGCCATTTTGTTCGGTCCGAGTCCAGGCTTTGATTTGTTATCGCTTTCTTGCTGCTTTGACCTCTACGTGTCAATGACTACCAGTCAGCGGTGATTATCTTGCTCCAGGCTCTTTTACTTTGCGCGGTAAAGATGGCGGATGAAGTACACGGTTTTTCACCTACGTAGTATGGAGAATTTTAAAGGAAAGACAGACTTCCAGGTACCTCTCTTTTATTTTTCTTAGTCTGTTTGAGAACATTGATTACCTGGCCTCAACAATGAAAGGTCTCAGAATTGTGCAAATGTGTTGAGCTTCGATTCAAATTTCATCTTTAGCTGGTGTGACATTTATGAAAATGACCTCTAACATATAACATTATAAGGTGTCTGTAAATGTAACGCTGTTTATTCGTATTTTTAAGCTTATTTTTATCAGAATAAACTATGGATCAATAAATTCCAGTCTTAAAAGACCATGATCATGAGTCATTAAAACTTGTCTCATTTTTCTTAAACTGATGTATCTTGTTGCAGGTTCAGGGAACAAATGATCGTGCCACGCTAAGCAAGTTTTCAACTGTGAAACAAGGCTACTATGAAGATAGATTCATACAGTATTTTGTCTCCAAGACTTCAAGGAGGGCGCCAATTATCCATAGGTGATGGCAAAATAAGACAAGACAAGACAATACTTTATCTGGAGTCTTATAGAGTCCTATCAGACCTGCCAACTCTCACGGTTCTGCCGTGAGTCTCACGATTTTTTGTCATTTCTCACGGTCTCACGACAAGGTTCCTCAATCTCACGGGTTTTGGGAAAAATCATTCTGAAATGATTTAAGTTGTTGAATCAGAATAAAAATGGGAAATTAACGAGGAATGTTCCTGTTTAGGCCTTGATGGCACCTTGTCTAACATTTTGGCCATGAAGTTGGCTTATCCAGAAGAAATGACACCTTGCTATAAGGTTCGTCCTAGTGATGACCTATTAGAATCATCAAAGAAAGCTGCATCTTCTTACAACAGGGAACACAAATGAAACATTTAAATAAACTGTTAATGACTTTCCTCGATGGAAAAGGGGTTTGTTTAATCTTGATCGGGAAAAAAATAGAATCTCACTATGTTTTATTGAATCTCCAGATTTTTTTTCATGGGTCTCCAGATTTTCCTTTATCAGGGGTTGGCAGGTCTGTCCTATGTACATCGACTTTTTATCCAAATAATTTAAAATCATAACACACATTGCACACTAGTGAAACTATAATCAATGTTAACCTAAAGAACTAATGATCTTCTTTTCTCATAGCAGTCGAATACATATTTCGCAATTAACTTTTGCACTGGTTTGTTCTTGCTCGGAGGGTTTATTAACAACAGAAAAACATCATCTGGTGCCATTCTGTTTACTGCTATAATTTCTGTATTCTTTGTTTAAGTATTCAAATAAATTCTTTCATGTAATACACCGGGTTTTTTGGGGGGGGGCGTGGGGGGATATCCATATAAGAATGTGAGACATTTGGCCTCTGCTCAATGTGACAGGGTATAAACTACGGTGTGACAATTATTAAATGTGGAAAAACTTCACGAGTTATACCAGCAGTGAAAAAACCTTGGATTGGGTATTTTAAAGTGGGGCATTTCTACTAAAAGATTTGACTGCAAAATCCGTCACAAACAGGGTCCAAATTTAGAGACTCGGGCAAAACATACCTGTTAGAGGTCAAAATTAAATTCAGGTTTAAATTTTTTAAGCTTTGTTGATTCTCAATTTCCTTTATAAAAATTGTCTCCTAGCCCTAATTCGTGAATAATCAGGGCTAGGAAACAAAGGAAATTGAGAATCAACCTAGGTTAAACATTTTTGGCCTGTTGATTGACCTGTAACATTTATATACCCACTCAAAATCTGCCCCAAGTATCTACATAATTATGGAGAAGTGTAAAGTTCTACATGGGATCCTAGGAATTGACTGTTTTAGAGAGGTAACTGTCATATAACCTCTCCCTTTTTTTTTCTTTTATTTAATAACATTTATTTGGTTACAACACTTCTACTGACAATACTTACATTTACATAGAGGGAAAATAAAAACAACGTACAAGAGATAGATAGATTGATAGCAAGTCAATTTAATATTAGTTGCCTGGAAACCCACATCACTGAGCTAGCAGGACCTCATTTTTGAGTAATGAAAGTCTGATGAAATGCAGTTCATGTCAGTCATCATTATCATATATTTATTTTTCCTTTCTTCCAAAGAATGGACCTGTTACTTAAACACAGATTCCTGGACAATGTGCCTAGCCCTTTTGGCCCTGTCATTATTCTCATGTGATCTTGAAATTTTTCTCAAGACATATTTTTAAAAAAAATTGCACTGGTTAACTACTAGAACATTGCCATTGTTAATATTGTTTCTATTGTTACATTTTAGGTCATATTACATAAGAGCCAAAGCAATTCATTTCATGTTGAAAGGATTTCTCCAAAGTTGTAGCCTTAAAAGTTTACCAAAACAGGTACACCTGAATACAGCAAAACTCTAATAAATTAACCATTTTCTATACCCAGTAATAGTAAAATGTATCCTGGAAAGAACCACGATATAACAAAACCTTGTTATGGTGAACATACAACTGTATTTTGTCCGTCCTTTGGTCCTTCGTTATTTTGAGGTTCCACTACATAACAGATATGTTAACAGTATTTTTATGGCTGGTTCCTGAAGCGGGTACATTGTAAAAAACATTGTGTTCTAATGATTAGCCGAGCAGGCAAAAAAATGGGTCTATCTGGATGGGAAGTTAGTCTATCGCAAGGCTTAATCACCAACATTAATTTTACCAGTACCGATTTATGCATCTGTGCAAAGAGAGACAAAGTGGAGCAAATTTTCTTGTCTTAAAAGACAATGTAATAGCAGTGCATCCAAACCCAAACCCTGTAGTCCAAACCTAAAACTCTCAGCTACCATGCCTTGTCTTCCTGAATTTACATTAGCTTTCATTAGTTTGTTATGTGTAAAAGTACACAATACTCTAGGGAAGTTCAAAAAAACTATTTTATGTATCAGAAGGTAAAGTTCAATATATTTTATTTTATTTTTAATTTTACAATAATACAAAAAACCCTTTTATCTTGTCCTTGTTTACAGATTGTTTCTCTTGGTGCTGGGTTTGATACATTATTCTTTGCACTTTCCAGAGAAGGACTTTTGAAAGATACAAAATATTTTGAGGTAGCTACATTTAGCAACAAATTTTTTTCTATAGAAAGTTACTCTGCTATGTGTACAAGCAGATCTCTCTAAATCTACACATCTATAGAGTAGACATTAGTCTCTCTGAAAAAGACAACTTATTTCCTTCAGATCTTTTGAAAAAGATTTGGACCCATGGTAGGTCTGTTTTTTTCTGAAGCAGATAGAACAAGCGAAGTTGAAATATTCCTTTTCCTTGTTAGTATAATATTGCCAGTGGCTTGGGAATGGTTGAAGGCATACTTGTTATCTCCTGTCAAGACTATACAAGACAACAAATAATTAAGTATCCAGGAAAACTGCTCATACCTTTTCAGTCTTTTCAGGCAGTGGCAATTTTTATTCTTACCCACTGAATGTCCCCCCTGCAGCCAACAGGCCCTGTTTTCTAATGACTCTTTATAGCGCAGATACACATACTGTAGCTCTCTGAGATGGTTCCAATTTGCTACTTTAGAATTGAGAAGGGGACTGGGACATCAAAATTGTTTCTGGAATCATTACTGCAGATGTAGCAGTCCCAGAACTGAGAAGTTTTTTACAAGAGTTAATTTGGCCGGTTTTCCTTCTCAATTCTACAGTGGTGAATGGCATCCATTCTTTGTGTGAATCAACTTCTTCATTGATGATTTAAATTTTTCTTTAATGTCAATATGCTTTAGGTTGATTTTCCAGAGGTTGTCAAACAGAAGGGCAGTTTAATTGTGCAGCACATAGAGTTATTAAACACGCTTGGAGGAGTCACTTCACAAAATGAACATTGGCTCGGCGGGGGTATTGTTGCTCTTCTTCTTTCCTTTCTTTTTACATAAACAGAATACAGTCAACTCTCCTCTTGCGGACACCCCGCCATAAGGTGACAAAGTGAAGAATATGAATTCTGTTCAGTTCACTGCTGGCTTTACAATAATTTTTCTACCGGTCAGATTTGCTACATTCGAGATCACTATCTACATATTAGGCTCTCTGGGTTTTGGCAAGGTCCAAAACTTGCACCTTCAGAGGGGCAGGCTTAAAAGAACGAGAAATATATTAAAAAAGACTTTTTTTCTTGTGGGATTAAGGAATTATTTGCTATAGTTTATTGAAAATAATGTGTAGCGAAAGTGTTGTGAACTTATGGCAAAACAAGTAGCAATAACAGTTATTACGCTCTGCTGAGAGAAGGAGGGACATGAATTTTTCAAGTAACAAGCAAATTTTTTGAGATTCTATGCTTACATGTACCTGTATACAGGAGGAGTGGTGAAAAAGGGGATTAAACATTTCCCTGATAGCACTGGCGGATCCAGGGGAAGGGCTCAGGGCCCCCCCACCCTTTATTTCTGGACCAAAATGAGGCCAAAGGGGCTGAGAAATATTTTTGGAGACCCCCCCCCAACCCTCCTCCTTATCTGGAGGTCTGGATCCGCCAATGGATAGTATCTGCAACATATGATTGTATTACCCTACAATTGAGCTTGTTAGCTAGTTACATTTTTACAGATTGTATTTTAATTATTAAATTCATATTGTTGTAAAATTAATAGGTTTTGACAGTGAGAAATACTCTCTACTTGGCTGCAACTTAAAGAATAGGACAGCACTAGAAAACTGCCTTCTAAAATGTGGACTAAACACAACAGTTCCAACTCTGCTGCTCTCGGAAGTTGTACTGACTTACATTGACCCACCACAGAGGTATGTACTAAACATTAATTTGATGTAATCTGATAGAAAACCGTGGTGATGATTTTGTTGATGATGGTGATGATGATGATGATGATGATAAAGACATCAGAGGAATAAAAACTTACTGACCAGTTATACAATTTAGCAGTGGTAGTGTAACTGGCATGATTACCATGTAAGCCCCGATATTCACTTACAAATTCTCCAAACTAATCCCCTTACATTTCCTTAAAGAATTAATTGAGAGACTTTGATAAAAGATCAAAGCACTTTCCCTGTGGTGATCATTTTGTTAAATCTCATAACCTTTTCTTTTGATAATGTATTGATTACAAGGAGAAAATTGATGTTGGTCACTCTTGGGACCTAAAGGGTTAAGTACTTACAAGATGACTTTCAGGGACCCTTTCCCACTGGGCAAGTAAGAGCAGGGGCCTCCCAAGCTGACGTTACGATTGTGTTATGTAAAAGAGAGTAAGTGTAGCGTTACAATCGATCGCTGAGACTTTGTATATGAAATAACATACTGAGGTCTGCGAACACTAAATATCCAATACCAGACATATTTCCGGTCATCGCTAACATGCGTATTACAGCAATTCAGAAACAATAAAAAGTATTGACGTCGATAAAGTAGGAATTAAAAAACCTTTAGCGAGTAAATCCTATTTTGTGTAGAATTGATCGCCTCCTCATTTCTCGATCTAATCTCCAAGCAAGCGAGACTGAATGCTGGTGTAAGAGCCTTCTTGTTTTTCTATAAAATGAATAAAGGAGACTTACCTTTAATGTTTTCCTGTGTTGTTTGGTGCGAATTCATCGATTTTGTCGAGTTTTTTGGCACAATACGAAGCTTCGGAGCTTGAGCCGCCTGTGGTAAGCGTAAAAAATACTCGCCTAGCAAGAAAACGTCTTTGTCAAGGATGACTGGACAAAGCTGTTTTCAAACCCTCCTGAATCTTTCTATATTTTAGATACCCTTTTAAGACTAAAGCAACCCAAAATCATCGTTGTTGCAAACTTACAAATTTTACCGAAAAACTGAGAAAATCCTCTCAGCTGTCATACTGCCTCAAATTGACAAGATTCCTGCATTTAGCTCCACAGACATAATTCACTGGGCAGCAGATTTCTTCAGTTCTGCAATGTTTGTAATGTTCGAACAGGTAAGAAAAAAAATCATGGGGTACTAAATATTTGTTGTCTTTGTTTTTATTTTATTAACGTACTTTTAATTATTTTTTTTATTTTTTGGTTTCTTCAGGTTTACCCTAATGATCCGTTTGGAATAAAAATGTAAGTAACAAATCTTTCTCTAAAAGGTAAAACTGTCAACCTTAAATTCAATAAATCATTACAGTTTTCTAAGGTAAACAACTTTTTCTATTCCAAAAGGGTATCATATCCATGTAGACGCCTGACAGTTTAGCAACACTTTACAACAGTTTACCGCCTGTTAACCAGCAGTTAAAGTTAATGAGCAGTTTACCGACACTTTACCGAAAGTTTGCCGACAGTTTACCAACTGTTTACCATCAGTTAATACCAATCAATTTAACATTAGTTTACCATCAGTTTACCAACAGTTTAATAATAATAGGAATAATTTTCCTCGTTTACCCCGTTTACCCCCGGCAGTATTTATAGCACTGATGCTATAACAACCTGATTTGTTGCAAGACAGGTTTGAACGTACTGGGTGGTAAAACAAGCAACATTGCCTTTGAACTCGACGGCGACGGCAACGAGAACGGCAAAAAAGTAATACTGAATAATAATAATAATAATAATAATAATAATAGGTTGGATTATCAAAACAAAAAATTTGCACGTGCATCACGCTTTTTTGTACATTTCTTTGCCGTTGTTGTACGACTCTGACGTGAACGTTCCTGCTAATTTGACGTCTTTAATTTATGGCGGGAGGGCTTGAACGCAAGACAATGATTTTCTTTTTCTCTTTGTGAATTTGGATACGTTCCTTTAGAATTTGACCCCTGGAAGAATTCGCCACCATTTGGCAAATTGAACGAGGTAAAAAAGTAGCAATGAAGTTTGCATAGTTTTAAGTGGCGTTTTTTTGCTGCCGCCGCCGTCGTTGTTGCTTAATCACCTTAATTAATGCACGAAAAAAAGTAAGATGCACGTGCAGAGTTGTTTGCTCATTAATTTAAAACCTTTGACTTTGAAGACGTCCTTGTTGCGGCCTTCGTCATTGTCGTTGTTGCTTACAAGTTACAAGACAGGCTGCAAACCGGCGTAACAGCACCTGTTTTCTTCCTCAATTTCAGGATGAACCATTTCAAGTATTCAGTCGGCGCTCCACTTCACGCCACGGAAGCTTTTCCAACTCAGCAAAGTCAAATACAACGATTCTTGAATGAGGTGAGAGGAAAATGATTTCTAGGCCCTCGGGTACGAAAACGAGGACTCCAGCTCCGTAGAAGCTGCAAGGGAATGAAAATGAGAACTTTCGTGGTTTTTTGTTCTCTAATTAATTGCGTTCGTATGAAGAGTTATCCTACATTCCCGGTCATAATTGTTGAAACACTTGCGAGGTTTTCCTTCCCTTCCGTTTCGATGCAAACGGGTGAAACCAATACTGAGGGAACGGGAGGGAAGCAATACGTGTATTCATGAAACGACTAAGTATATCTTGTGTTTTCCGGAAGTGTTTCAACAAATTATGACCGGGATTGTAGCTTTGTCAATGTGTCATAATGTTTACGCGACCAACTGGAAAATGACAACACTGCATTATATTAGTCCCCGCTTACATGGAGTAGAGTTTTCTCGGGAAGAAGGCTCACCCTTCTAGCCGAATAAACTTTAGCGAGCGTTTATATGAGGAGAAAAAAAATTCAACCCTTTAGCCCGACCAAAGACCTGACAAAAGCGCTCGCGCATTCTCTTTAGGGAACTTTAGCATCAACTACGGCGACGACAGCGAAAACGTCACTTTTGAACTGAACTCGCGTTTTTTCGAACTTTTTCGCGTTTATTCCAATTGAGGCAAAATGTCAAATGTAGGCGAAATTTCTTGGGGACTGCACTCAAGTTTAGAGAGAGAAAGAAAAATTCGTCGTCGCTTGCTTACGTCCTCTATAAAACGTGAAGTTAGGCATTTTCACGTCGAAGTCGTGCAGTGACGGCAACGAAATACACAAAAAAGCTTAATAAGCCTATTGCTTATTTGACCCGCCTAGGCGAACAAAAGTGTTTATATAGAGAAAACCATCATCAAATGGGTGACCCGGCTAGGCGGGCCACTCTTCTTGCCAAGCCAAGTTTTGTATGGAAATGTAGGAAAGGTTGGCTCGCCCAGGGTAGTTCGAGTAGAAGGGTGACTCTTCCGGTACAACTTTTCTCCATATAGATGGAGCCTTAGGACCTGTTTACATGGAGGTGGGGGACCCCAGGTAGGTGAGGTAACCTGCTTAGGGTAACTTGCCTGTCCACATGATCTCTCATTTTAATGTGATCACGTTTACGTGATAGGTGGGTTGACCCACCACATGTTACCTCTCCTTTGTGGGGTCCCCCTCGTCCATGTAAACAGGCCCTTAGAATGCTATTTGTGACTCCCCAAGACAGCTGGCATTCACGGGCGCTACATTTTATGCAGGTTCTTGGAATATTTGTTGTTTTTCACAGGGATGGCCTGTGGTGGAATGTCCAACTTTAAACTATATTTACTACGATACACTACCAGCAGAGGAAAAGGCTAGAGTGGAAGAAGTTGAACCCTTTGATGAATTTGAGGTAATTTTATGTGAATTGCTCTCGTCTTTGTAGGTTTATATAGTGGTGAGTTTATATGGTTTATAGGTGCTGTGAGTATGTATGTGGGCTGCAAGTATAATTAGTGTGTCACGGAAACATGCTGCATTTCACTAATCCCGAAGTTCTTGGCAAGCGGGATCGAGCATGATACGTTACAGCCTTCTGGCATGAATTTGGGCGGCGCAGTCTGAAATCTCACAGTTTTTAACGGGGCTGCTTACTAGAAGCGGCTTCTCGCTCCTCCCCACTCCCCTGGCGGCGGTGATCACATCCCCAAACCTCTCTGCATATCTCACCTTTGCCTAGGCAGTCGCGGATTCCGCCCATAACCCCTATAAGGACACGCACTTTATACGGACACCCGTATCTAACGGACAGTTTCGTTTGTCCCGACCAAAAGATCATATATTTTCTCTGAAATTAACCCGCTCAATACGGACAACGGACATTTTCCTTTGTCCGGAGTCATAAACTCCTTAATATCGTCAACCCCGCTTTACGGACACTGGTTATCTGAGCACTGTCTATGACTAAATATTTTATCTGTGAATACCTAACAAAAACGGCGAATGATCTTCTTAATGTTCTCTCTAATACTCAGTCTACCTGGCTGAGTCGCAACTGATTAAAGCAGTCAGCGCAAAGTAAAGTCGTGCATTCCAATGTCGTGTTTCAACAACAATACTTTAAAAAGGTAATTTTGGTTCCAGACTATGGTAATTGGTCGTGAGAGTCTTAAGACTTAAAACAATGTTTCCTCGTAAAAATGTCTGCTTTAGTTGTTATATCGATAAAATATGTGTCCTTGACGTTTTTTTTTCTGACAATAGGGACCTTTCGAAACTACGACGGTGACGGCAACGGGAACTTAAAAAAAGCAATAGGTTTAATGAGCAAAAGAACAGCTTTGCACGTGCATCACGCTGTTTTGTACATTTTTTGCTGTCCCTGCACAACTACGAAGTGAAATGACCAAATTTTAAGTTTACTTGAGAACGGGAACGGCCAGGCGATAAATTCTACCATCTCTGTCTGAATTCGGGCGCAGTCCCCTCTCTTCAGCTCCAATCAAAATTCACTTCTTTTTAATAACAGGACGAATTGGGATAATCGCGAAAAAGTTTAAAAGGATGCGAAGTCTATTTTTCAGCGAAGTTTTCATGGACGTCGCCGTTGTCGGATCGTAAGGTCCCTAATCCATTTAAGACGGCACCCTAATAATACGGACATTTTGCCATGTCCGATCATTCGTGTCCGTACTGTCCAGTTTCAACTTATTTTACCATGATATAACAATACATCTTGAGTACGTTATGGCTACCCTCGCCTGACCACATCGTCTTTATATCTGTCGCAGGAATGGCACCTTGTGTGTTCTCATTACATTATTTTGGTGGCCTTCAAAGGATCCTGTCAGAGTATCAAAGATGAACTACTTCGTCAGCAAACTGGTACTAAAATAATTTTCGTTAAAGGCCTTGGAACACACAGTACAGCATTGTAGGTAGCCTGAGTATCAGGCCTTCCTAAGGGGCTAGGGGAGAGGGGATTTTAGATGGGGGAGGGGGGAGGGGGAGAAAAGAAAGGAAGGCCTGACACAAAACCATTCAGCAAATCGTGTGACACATCCAAAATCTGGATGTGGCAGTGATTGGATAACACACAATACCCCCTGACGTCACCAACCGCAAGAGCGATCGGCAAGGAGAAGCCATTGAAATTTTTCATAGCTGTGTTGATTTCATGTGACCGGTATCAGCGGTATGTGATACTTTTATGGACAGAGACGCAGAGAGGAATTCAAGAAGGCTCTAGAGGGCGCTCTCAAGTTCTTTCCTGGAATGAAAATAAACCCGAGCAAGAATTGTGTTTTCAGGGCCTCGTAGTTTAAAGGAAAGATGTACTCGGAGTATGGAAAAGCCTCATATACCAGCTTCTGCCGAAACTATGTCCGAGTATTGGTTTCACAAGACCGGGACAAAGAAGACGATATCAGTGTTTCAGATATCTAAGTTCTGATTTACAACATCCTGCCGTTAAAAGGGTATTAGCTGGTATTGTTACTTACATTGTAGGCCAAATTACACCCCCTCTAAACTCCCGAGGGGGGGGGACACTCCTTTCATAAAAATGGCAGGGTGCTCTTTGAAATACAGTCGAATCCCCCTCAAAGCGACCACCCAAAACGCGAAGATTTAGAAGTCGCTTATGGGCGGTGGTCTCTTACGGGAATCGAACCAGATGGGGTCTCTCTTCCGAGAAGAAGTCCCCACTTATCTAGGTTTTTTGTGTGTGTGCTCATAGTAGTGTAGTGCATACAGCGAATTAAGAGATCAGACCACGTGTAAAGCGGTCGCTTACAAGAGGTTAAAAACAATTGAAAATTATAAAACTGTCACCCCGAAAAGTGGTCGCGTTCGCTTACAAGAGGTGGTCGTCAGGAGCCCATCAATTTGATGGGCTCCTGGTGGTCGTTTATGAGAAGTTCCAACTACAGGGCTTTGACCGGGAAAATTTTGGTGTTTTGGATCTGTGGACGCTTATGGGAGGTGGCCGCTGACGAGAGGTGATCGCAGGTGGAGGTTCGACTGTATTCTAAAACCTCCGTAAAAGGTTTTTAAATCTTTCTTTGTGGGCTCCTCTCAAATTCGTTTTAATGCTTAAGAGGTACGAAAAAATCAGTTGAGTAACAAATGGTTCCTACTATTTTTTTTACTATTATTTATGATTTATTACTATTTTTTTACTGTTACAACCCCGGATACCGCAACAGATCTGATGGCGATCATTCGCCGCTTTAGAACCGAGAAGAAGACTGGGCTGAGTAAACTTTCGCAAAGACTTCTGGGACGGTCAACGGAGACAGAGGAAAAATTTTCCAGTAGGGAGCTCAAGCAAAGGTGTTTTTGAGAGACGCACGTCAACCGGAAGTAAGGACTTTTTCCCTTTAACATGTGTTGACGCTATAAAATTTGTATTGCTTAGTTTCTTTTCACTTGTAGAGACGATTTAGCTGAAGATTTTGGCAAAACCATTGTTCAGGAATGTAAAAAGTCCACTTCCGGTTGACCTGCGTCGCTCAAAAACGCCTTTGCTTAAATTCCCTAATAGCTGACGCGTTCCCAGTAACGATCCCAGAAGTCTTTGTGAAAGTTAACTCGGCCCAGTTTCCTTCTCCTTTTTAAAGAGGCGAATTTTAGATGAAAGAACTGTAAGCGGTACCAATCGACAGATCGTTGCCCATAAGAGGGAGGACCGAGTCAGTTGCCCCGTCGTTTTTCTAAGGGATTACACCAGGGAACTACATCGTGTATCTACTCCTGAAATTTTGATGCGCAAAATAAATTGGCCGTTTCTTTGCGAGAGAAGTAGTCCAGACGCATTTAAAGTCGTCTGGTGTAAAAAAGAGACACATAAACGTAGACGACAACTTTGAAAAAAAAAACAGATTTTTTGAAAAATAACAAAACGCTGATTCTTCCCTGTCGTTTCTGGACGAGTTGGGCATAAAGGCGTCCCCGTTTACGGCGTCCCGTTTTTATACTAGGTGCATTTAACGTCTGAGACGTTAAAGTCGTCCGTTGAGTGCGTCTGAACGGCGCACTTAACAGAAGGCTTTAAAGTCGTCAGACGTTTAATGCGTTTGTTTTATTTACCATTTTTATACTAGGCGTCAAAGTCGTACTGAGACGACTTAAACATCTCTAACATAAAAACGGCCATTGTAACATCAGCTGAGAATTTTCAATGCTTGCGATGACGAAATGCATCCTTTCTGCATCTTTTTGTGGTTTTGCCCTTTACATATTGTTCTTTTCCTTTAAGTGTTCTTCCTCCTCTTCCTTCTTTCCAAGTATATAAAAAAATAAAAGATATCCGGAACTGTAATTTGTACATATAAGCGCATTTGATCGTGCACCATGGAAAATTTCGCTATATAAGTTTTAATTTATTTTAATTATAATATGTGTTGTGGTTCTATATGTCGTTTTCTGCTATGATAATGTATGATAATGAGTTTGAAACGAAAGGAAATAAAATTTAAACCAAGGATAAAATTGAACCACAACATATATAAACATGTGTACCGTAAAATTCCGACAATAAGCCCCGGGGCTTATATTTTTCAAAGGCCCTTTTTGAGGGGCTTATTTTTGGAGAGGCCTATATTCGCAGGGGCTCATGTACGGAGGGAAATTTACGTTATAAAATCGTTTGGGCTAGCTTGTAGTGGAAAGGAAATTTACCATTTTTGCTTTGTTTTACTTTGTATTCCAGGGCAAATTCCAAGTACAAGCCCCGCGGGGGGCTTATATTCGGAGAGCCGATTTAACGGAGGGTTTTTTGCGTTACCATTTGGGAGGGGGGACTTATATTTGGAGGGGCTTATACATGGAGGGGCTTATTTTTGGAATTTTACGGTATTTTAATACTGTGTAAAATATGTATAGTTATGTGACAAAATGTTATTGTGTACAGTCTGGCTTGCTGCGATTAGCTTTCTTTATTTGTTAGCCTGTCTAACGCTAACTTGTAAAAGTGAAGTGTTGGTTAGCCAATCAATTTTGGTATAAATTGTAATTCTTTTTTTTTCTACAAAAGAATTGCCTAGACAGTCAAGTATTATTGAGGAGGAACAATGGAACTTTCGCCCAGTCGATGTTTCTCCATCTTGTGACGGTCTTAAAAGGTAATAGTTCATTTACTTTTCCATATTTCTTCTATGCATGTAATTTTACATAACAAATTTCATGGGAGCACGAAAACATTTTCCAAGCCAAGTCTAGTGAGAGTGGCTGTTTAATAAATGTATTGTGACGGTAGCAACACCAAACTTTAGTGGTAACAGTGAAACATGGCATGCAGCCAGTTTAAATCGTTCAAACGCGAGCGAAGTTACAGCTAATATTAAGAATGGGGAAAGTACAACTGATTCAAATCTCGTAAATGGCAGCTAGTGGTTCTGCGGAAGCGAAGCGTAGAAAGACTTGTGGCGGCGGCTGCAATGCAAACGGGGAAAATTTTGCATTTGCTGCCATGCGAGGGAAAACCTATGGCAGCTGCAATACAAGCGCAGGAAGTCATGTAGCTGCTGCCATGCGCGGGAAAACCTGTGGCAGTTGCAATTTGAGGTTGCAATACAAGTGCGGGAAATTATGCAACTGCTGTCATAAGTAGGAAAACTGCGGCGGCTATAATACAAGCGCAGGAAGTCATGCAGCTGCTGCCATGCGCGGGAAAACCTGTGGCAGTTGCAATTTGAGGTTGCAATACAAGTGCGGGAAATTATGCAACTGCTGTCATAAGTAGGAAAACCTGCGGCGGCTATAATACAAGCGCAGGAAGTCATGCAGCTGCTGCCATGCGCGGGAAAACCTGTGGCAGTTGCAATTTAAGGTTGCAATACAAGTGCGGGAAATTATGCAACTGCTGTCATAAGTGGGAAAACCTGCGGCAGCTGTAATACAAAGTATACATGCGCGGGAACTTATGCAACCACTTCCCTGCGCGGGAGAACCTTTGGTGGCTGGGTTACAATAAATTATGTAACTGCTGCCATAAGCGGGAAAACCTGCTGCGGCTGTAATACAAGGGAGATAAATTGTGCAACTACTGCCATGCGCGGCAAAACCTCTGGTGGCTGCAATACAGGCGCGGGAATTTATGCTATGGAACTGCTGCCATGCGCGGAAAAACCTTTGGCGGTGACAAGTTAAGGTTGCAAAACAAGTGCGGCGAATTATGCAACTCCTGTCATAAGCGGGAAAACCTGCGGCAGCTGCAATATACAAGCGTGGGAAACTATGCAACTGCTGTCATGCGCGGAAAAAACCGTGGCGGCTATAATACAAGCGTGATAACTTATAGAACTGCTGCCATGCGCGGTAAAGCCAGTGGTGGCTGCAATACAAGTGCGGGAAATTACGCAACTGCTGCCATGCGCGGCAAAACCTCTGGTGGCTGCAATACTGGCGCGGGAATTTATGCCATGGAACTGCTGCCATGCGCGGAAAAACCCGTGGCGGTTGCAATTTAAGGTTGCAATACAAGTGCGGGAAATTATGCAACTGCTGTCATGCGCGGGAAAACCTGTGGCGGCTACAATACAAGCGTGGTAAATTATGCAACTGCTGTCATGCACGGCAAAGCCTGTGGTGGCTGCAGTACAAGTGCAGGAAATTATGCAACTGTTACCATTGCGCGGCAAAAACTGTGACGGTTGCAAGCGCGGGGGTACGCAGCTGATGCTAAGCGCGGGATACACGCAAACTGCCGATGCAAACATACGGTCTGTTTCAGGAGTGGGAAGCGCACTCTTGCCTTGACATGTTCGCTCAGAACTGTTTGGACCTTGGAGGGTGTGTTTTGAACATTTTAAGCCATTTTTTAATCGACAAGCTCAAACTGTGACTGAAGCGATTTAGGCAATCTATACACTGTTTTAATTTTAAAATTTGGGATTGAAGATTTTACTGATCGAGGTCTTCTAAAGATCCGGCTGACCCTCACTAGTTTGTCGTTTTGGTTTTGCCTTCAGGGGTGTTTATGGTTTCCAGTCCTCTTTCTTACTTTTTTACACTTCCCCAAAGTGTGGCACAGAACCTATCCGATATGAAACACTCCACTTTCGAGAACGGCGCGGCGCAGCTTTGCAACGTTTCAGACATCGCGCCAAAATCACCGTTCTTATGTGTCAACAGAAGCCCTATCCAGTATGATGTTTGTGTAGGTGCAAAAGTATTGACCACTACAGAAAATTACAAAACAAACCATAATGCTCTTTGTTTGTCACCCCCAAAATTTACATAAGTTAAAATGGCCCCAAGAGAAACTGAAAACGATGCTTATGCAAAATTTTGGGGTGTCAAACAAAGAGCATTATGGTATGTTATGGTATTTTCTTTAGTGGTTAATAGGGTGAACATAGCCTTAGTAGGGTCTCCTTTTGGTAACCAGGTTTGGTCACACAGTCACTCCCAAATCTGATGGTAGCATTGTACTTACTGGTGGATTTGGTCTTGAAAATGGGAAACACATGCGGCTTAATGGTGTCCATTTACTACATACTGTGCAAGGTAATATTTGCTTTAAAAATTGGCAGAAAAAGAAATGCCGCGTGATGGATATGCCTTAATAAAATTAATAACAATCTTGTCTCGTAGGAGTGTGGCATTGTACAGAAGTGATAGCTGCCTCGGAAAATGACTTACTTGGTAAGAGAAGCGATAGTGTAATAGTTCCTTGTTTTTAGAATGCGTTGAGTTAAAGAATAGCTCAAAAATCAAGGATGCGTAAATCTTCCAGATGGTAAAAAGAAAAGAAGAAAAAACTTCGAAGTCAAATATTTGATCGATTCGTCGTCCTGTTCGTTGTCAGTGTCTTGTGAACCAGTGCGAGTTTAGCTCAAATAAACACAAAAAAGCTTTTTTTTGTGCTTGAAGAATGAACCAAGGCTTATATGCTGAGTAAAGTTACTACCTTGCTTGCGTAAAGAAACAAAAGTTCCTGCTTTTTGCGATACTTACCGCTTGTATTCACAAGACGTTTAACGCATAAAATTTCTTTAACTTTATTAAACTGTCCCAACTGAACCTGATTATGATGATGATGATGATGATGATGATGATGATAATGGGGATGACATCGATGACTGTGGACTATGTGGTAACCAACATTTACTTCTTAATTTCAGGTGGTCGAATCTTTCACACAGCAACAGCATTAAGCAGCAGTGACATTTTGATATACGGCGGTAGAACGTCGCCAGCAAAGCCTTGTGCACAAACTCTTCTTCTGTCACTAACAAATAATAGTGAGTCAATATCTTCAAATTCTTCATGCGGCGCTTCCCAAAACGTCCGTGCGGAGAGTGAATTTGAAGGCGATAGGGATTTTCAAAGCTCTCGCATCATAAATCAGTGTTACAAACAGACTGTTTTAGACTGCGGTGGAGATATTCCAGAACCAAGATGGCGTCATAGTGCTACCCATGTCTTCCTTCCTGATGGTATGCTAAATTTTTCTAGTCTTGTCGCATTCAGTTTCTGTAGACCGTTAGTGGTGCTTTGGAAATAGAAAGATTAAGCATCGCGTTTACGTCAAACGGCAAATGAAAAATTTTCAAAATGAGAAATGAGGAGAGAAAAGCGGCTTAAAACGATTCTTATAGGGACTTTAAGATCCAACGACGCGGACGACAGCGAGAACGTCAAAAAAACAATTGGTTTAATTAGCAAAACAACAGCTTCGCACGTGCATCACACTTTTTTGTACATTTCTTTCCCTTTTTTGCACGACTACGACGTGAAAATGCCTAATTTCGCGTTTTATGGAGGACATAAACAACCAACGACGAAATTTTATTTCTCTTTCTGAGCTTGAATTTGGTCCCTTGAAATTCAGCTTCAGGAGGGCTCGCCTATAATTGACAAAGTAAGTGGGTAGGAATAATCGCTATGAAGACTGAAAGAACGCAAATTCACTTGTCAAGCGACGTTCTTGTCGCCGTCGCATCGTTGGATCTTAAAGTCCCTAATGAACAGTAAACGACAAGTAAAGGGGAAACTTGGTCACGTGCTACAAATTCACGTTTGCTGTTTGCCGTAAACGCGATGCTTAATCTCTCTATTGTTGGCTGGGCGAGCACATTATCAGGAGGCCAGCAAGTGACTGAGTGAGCTTGGGATCAGTTCCTTCTCTCTGTTTGTTCGGTTACGTCGCACCTTGGCCCTTTGCCATCTCGAAAAACTAAAAAGTGGCTTCTCTCAGTCACACAGTCCTGCGAGAAATGGTCATTCCATCATTTTTCAGACCGGGAGGACATCAAAGCACTCGTCTGCATGCAGGTAGCCTGCGAAGCGCAAACGTATTTCCGGTCGTCGCTTCTCTCCCTCCCTCCGGAGGGAGTGAAGCGACCACCGGAAATACGTCTGCGCTTCGCAGGCTAGCATTCAGGCCATGAAGTTTACCTTGAAAATTAACCCTTCCATCCATTCAATTTGATAAGAGTCTAATTTCTCCTTAGAATGTCACGGTTTGATTAAACATAGAAGATTTTGAACTAAGGAAATGCTTGCCAAGTAGAAAATGCTTACCAAGTGTAAAAAGTCTCCCAAAACCCTGGGAACTGTATAAAGAATAATGCGATGAATGTTCGTGTTGTGATAAGATGTAGTATGTTTCTAATTCACACTTATCATGACTTCTGTTTTGGTCCTCACAGGTAGCGAAAATGTGCTCGTGTTTGGCGGTCGCACTCCTTCTTGCCTCGCTCTTGGAGACTGTTATTTACTCAATCGTAAAACGCAAATGTGGAGAAAGGTAACCACTTCTAAGAAGTTGTTTTCTTCGTTCGGTGTTACACACACCAAGAAAGGTTCCTGCGCAAAAAGCGCGGAAAATCGCGCTGGGCGTTTTTATTTACCATGTGCAAAAAAGTTTCCGGAAAATCTGGTTGGGAAGTAAATGGAACACGATTTTTTGAGTCGTTCCACCAGAAAATTTCCCGGAGCAACAGGACATCTGAAACGGTAGTCTTGTTTTTTCTGGACGGAATGTTCCAAACGAAAATTCGTGTTCCATTTCTTCAAAGCCATCTTTGATACCAGTTTAAGGCTATCGCGGCCGTTTTTCGGTTAAAGGAACTGATTTTTCAAATGAAAAACACGATTCCGGAATGAAATTTACCTGTCCTGAATTTTGCGTACCATTTGCTCAAACTGTGAACCGTCCGGTTTGCCCATGTAAATAGTGAACAACCATAATGAATCACTCCTTTCAGGAAGCAGCATTTCTTAGTTACCAGGGCAACTGATACAAGCCTGGGACCTCGTATAAAACAAATAAAAATTGGTGGACTGGCACCAGCCTAAAAATATGCGCATTAATTTAACCTTACTACTATTTATTGTTTGGTTGATTTATCTATTAATAAATTAATTAAATTATTTATTTATCTATTTATTCATTATAAAACGCAAACTGTCAAAATTTAAGCACAATGCACTTGCGCGTTTCGATGCGATCCGTTTTACATACACTCTGAGGTGTTTGTAGTTAATCTCTAGTTACCGTTGCTTTATAGTTGCTTCTCAGTGGAGACATCGCTTCACCGCGTCATTCCCACTCCGCATGCGCGTGGAACAACAATGTAATACTATTGGGAGGCCTGGACGCTAGTCTTCATGCCCTTGCCACACTTCAAATCATAGACACTAAGGTATGATGTCCTGTTTTCAGACGTTGTCCATTTTAATACAGACTTTACAACTGTTTATACAAATATGTAATGCAGCAAACACAATTGCAAATTTGCAGATAAGGAGAACGACAAGATAGGAAAAAACTAATGCATTATAACAGACGGAGAGCTATGTACTGTTAAGAAAACCAGCTGGAGTGTATTATCAGGTTTAAAAACTCGAGGCGAAGCCGAGAGTTTTTACACCCGATAATAGACGACTGCGAGTTTTTTTGGACGGCTACAAAATCTCTGATATAGCTCAACTCATTCTTGCACTAATATTAGATTTGGGGTTATTTCGTTCCAAGAAATCGGACGTAAAGTTTAGCCGTGTCTTTATCAGATATAAAGACACTCATTAAACATTATTTTCTTTTGTTTTTTCTATATAAATTATTAATGACTTTTTGAAATACTTTTAACAAACGTTACAGTTGAACCTCTCCACAACGGCTCCCTTGGGGACAGAAGAAAGTGGCCATTTTAGAAAGGTGGCCTTGGTAGTGGGGGTGTAATATGACACCCTCCCCCCCTCCTTTTTTTTCTTTTTTTTTTTCGGGTAAGGTGACTCTTCGCCGGGAAATTCGCCGGCATTTGACAGTTTCAGCGAACTGGAATAAGCACGACAAAGTTTTAAAAGTACGAATTCATTTTAAAGGTGACGTTTTCTTTGGCTTCGCCGTCGTCGATGCTAAAGCTCCGTATTGACAGTTGGGAACGCGCTTTAGTGCCGTTACCATTGCAAAGAGGTTTAAACAAGAGTCAGTGTATAGATTGTCCGCAAAAGTGGCCGTTCTAGAGAGGTGGTCCTTATTGGAGTTCCGACTGTATTTCTAAATTAATACTGAGAAAAGTAAAACTTTTGGAGAGCAAATTTGAACTGGTTTGTAGGAGGTTTTTGTTGGATTATTTACCAACTTGTCCTGGGCATCAAGCCATCTCATCCTCACGCCCGATCACTAACAAAATGATACATGCTTTGCTTTCAGGTAAACCCCATGACTCTACGGACACTTAACGTTCAGCCTGCTTTATTACCAAGGTATCGTCCCACGAAAACTTTAATCACAGTTCTCGATTCGTGATTATTATGAATCTTGTTGCGGGCGACAAGAGGAGCCGGCAATACTAATATCCAGACCCACTTTGTTCAAACGCTGGTACTCATAATCTGATTACGCGTGGTTTGACCACCTACCACGTGAAACTTACGCAAAGCACAACGTTCGGGCAAAAGCGTTTTGACCGATCGTTGTCGCTCGCCCGCACTCTGTAACCTTTGGTTATTACTAGTAGCTACAAGCGTGCATAAATTTGTTTTTATCATTTCGTCAGAGCGAATCTAGTATAGTTTGCGATGAATCTGTACGTAGCTCTATGGTGTATTATCTGCAGTAGTTAGATTGCTCGATCGGCCTTTTGGCGTTATGAAAACAGTAAACACCCGCGAATAAGAACCTAGTGGATTAAGAACCTCCCGGCAGAAATTTTCCAGTTTTTAAATACAAGAACCTGTTTAGCCAAGGAAAATCAAGCAGGTTCTTATATCAGGTTACGGTTAAATGGTAAAAAACAATTTAACCAAGGGGTGTAATTTTGAGATTGTGAATTAAGGTATAACAAGAACATACCGTACCAAACTATATATAAATTTGGTAATCAGGTTTGTTACGGTTATAATAACACAATTCTGAATAAATACGGTATTTTTAACGACCAAACGCAATTTTTTTTTTTTGGTAATCAAGAACCTATTATCTCCTTCATAAGTACCAATAATTACCCCCAAAATACAACAACCTATTTTGCCAGACTTTAAAAGAAGTAGGTTCTTATTCGCGGGTGTTTACTGCATTTCCTTCTTTTTGTGTTATCGCTTTTTTTTCTCACCCATTATTATGCACCTTTTTCCATTGTATTTTTTTTTTTAGATACTCTCACACAGCTCATGTTGTTAATGACCATCTTGTACTCGTGGGTGGAGTCTCCCCAAACTCTACTCGCACCCCTGGAGTAGTTCTTCTTAATCTCAAGTCTCTTACTTGGAAATCATTTTCCCTTCCGGTAAGTGCTTTTCTGTTATCACAATATTCTACTATTCTAGCTAAAGTTGTGCACGATTTCACAACGAGACTTAGGGCCTGTTTACATGGAGGTGGGGTCCCCAGTTAGCTGAGGTAACATGTGGCGGGTCACCCCACCGATCATGTAAACGTGATCAAATTAAAATGAGAGATTATATGGACAGGCAAGTTACATCACCTGCCTGGGGTCCCCCACCTCCATGTAAACAGGCCCTTAGATAGCTGGAGCCGGAACATACAATAACACAGGAAAAAGGGTCTGGAAGGGGAGGAGGGGAGTCCATGATCCCGCCATTCCCGCTCCTTTTTCACCACAATCCGGCTTCCCAAACTGCAGTCATCTCTATCCCGGATACAGGTAGTTTCTTGGGGTTATCGGTCGTTTCGATACAAAGTTCTTTCGATCCCAGTCATTTCGATACAAGTTTATTCATTCTAGGTGTAAATAGTTCCACGTACTTGGCTTAAAGAACGACGATATTCACCCAAAATTTCACTGCTTGAGTTTGTATCGAAACGACTTGTATCGAAACGACTTTGCATCGAAACGACCAGTAGTTTCTTGGTGTTGCGGAAGGGTGTAATCACCAAATGACGTAATTCAATAGGTTGAAAAGACACTGAACAATGTACACACCACACCACCACACCATTTTCTTTCCAATAACCGCATCCCGTGCCGAGATTTTGGCTTCCTGTGGAGCGGTCAAATCCCATGTTCCGTCAACAAATTTTGCGTTTTGCCGAATCCTACACAATATTTCGGTCAATTCCTGGATCCCAGGAAAACACAGCTTAGCTACTAAACTGTTTCCCAGCCAAGTGTCATTTGAAAATTACCAAAGTAATATTGTTTCTTTTATTTTTCTCAAGACCTGTACAGCCCCTCGAAACCCCCTGATGCTTCACAATCACCAAAGTGTCTTCTGGGAAGATTCGCAAGGTATTGTAGTACTCGGTGGAGGAGGAAACTGTTTTTCGTTTGGAACTCATTTAAATGACTTTCCTGTTTTGATAGATCTTCCGCTTCCTTGACAATTTAATCAATAAAATACAAGCCGTCCTGAGGTTATTTCCAGCAGTGGCTCCAAAAGAAAAGTACGAGTTGATAACAGTCGGGTGTCTATTCCTCCTCTAGGATTCTATTATCGTTAAGTGATTGGTGTATCTGTGCCAATTACGGGAACATTTCCCTTGAGTGATCCCTTTAAGTACCCACGAAACAAAATTAACGAAGTCTTGACTTTACGATTCTGGAACTGGAAGGTGGTATCCATGTTCGAGACCATTTCTAAAACGCAGTATAATTGTTATGATGAACGTGCACTTCATAAAAAGAGGTACAATACGTCGAACCCGCAAAAGCGTCATAACTGAAGTACGGGGTAGAACAGGGGGTGCTTATCATTTACACAAACCACCCGGGTGGAAATCGTGTGCGTAAAAAGGGGTACAATACTTCAAACTCGCAAAAGCCTCATAACTGTAGTACGGGGTAGAACAGGGGTTGCTTCACCATGTACACAAACCACCCGGGTGGAAATCTTGTGCGTAAAAAGGGATATAATACTTCAAACCCGCAAAAGCCTCATAACTGAAGTACGGGATAGAATCGGGGGTGCTCACCATCTACACAAACCACCCGGGTGGAAATCTTCTGCATAAGAAGGGGTATAATACTTCAAACCCGCAAAAGCCTCGATGCACATACTGATCCAATCTTTCAAAATCTTGGTAACTTAAAATTTCATGATATATACTTAATGCAACTAGGCTTATTCATGTACTCCTATCAAAACCATACTCTACCTTAAAATTTCATTGTAAATTTACCTTACAAAGTCAAATTCATTCGTATAATACAAGAAACTCGTGTAAATTTCGTCTGCCTTTCTGTCGTATTCGAACCAAACAATTTTCCGTTTTTTATCAAGGACCTAAATTTTACAACACCTTAAACACCAACATCATCAACGCTTCCTCACCTTTCTCCTTTAAAAGAGCACTTAAGCCTTTTAATATTCAACATTTGTAAACTTCCGTAATATTGATTAGTTTAATTTTTCACCTGATATTATATTGTATCCGTCGCCGTAATTTTTATGCCATCTTTGAAAAATTGTAATTGAGGAGGCTTAATTAACATAAGCTCTATAGTTTCTTTTAGGCCTCCTCGCCATCTCTTCCTACATTTTTTTTTTGGCATCTTTTTGTAATTATTGTAATCGTGTGGCAAATAAATAAAATACCTAAATACCTAAACTGAAGTACGGGGTAGAACCGGGGGTGCTTCACCATTTACACAAACTACCCGGGTGGAAATCATGTGCGTAAAAAGGGGTATAATGCTTCAAACCCGCAAAAGTCTCATAACTGAAATACGGGGTAGAACCGGGGGTGCTTACAATTTACACAAACCACCCGGGTGGAAATCTTCTACGTAAAAAAGGGTACAATACTACTATACTTAGTGATTGTTGTAATTTATTATTATCAATTTTGCTTTTAGAGGGCCACTAGGGAGAATATTTCATAGTAATTGGTGTCACCCTCTTAAAATAAAGCTCATTTAGAATTAAACATCTTTCTAGTAAAACTCATGCAGTTAGCAGGGGAGCTTCGCTCGGGGTGCCTGAAAAGGCTTCGATTGGCCGAAAGCGGAAAGTAATCGTGAACAGTGGACAATACAAAGCTAGTCGAGAGCATAAGAATCTCAACTCCAAAACGTCTGTTTGGGCCAGGATTAAAGAATTTCCTGGACAACATCTCGACAACATCTTAACATATTCGAGCAACTTTACAAAATTTTTAAGCAACTTTTGAGCAACTTTTTGGCATATTTCTTAGCAACTTTTTAGCTTTTTCGGAGCAGAATGTTGAAAGGCCTACTTCAAACCTGCAAAAGCCTCATAACTGAAGTACGGGGTAGAACAAGGGGTGCTTCACCATTTACACAAACCACCCGGGGGGAAATCTTGTGCATAAAAAGGGTTATAATACTTCAAACCCGTAAAAGCCTCATAAGTGAAGTACGGGGTAGAACCGGGGGTGCTTATAATTTACACAAACCACCCGGGAGGAAATCTTGTGCATAAAAAGGGGTACAATACTTCAAACCCGTAAAAGCCTTATAACTGAGGTACGGGGTAGAACCGGGGCTGCTCACCATTTACACAAACCACCCGGGTGGAAATCATGTGCCTAAAAAGGGGTGCAATACTTCAAACCCGCAAAAGCCTCATAACTCAAGGAGGGGGTAGAACCGGGAGTGCCTGCCATTTACACAAACCACCCGCGTGGAAATCATGTGCGTAAAAAGGGGTATAATGCTTCAAACCCGCAAAAGCCTCATAACTGAAGTAGGGGGTAGAACGGGGGATGCTTCTCCATTTACACAAACCACCCGGGTGGAAATCATGTGCGTAAAAAGGGGTATGATACTTCAAACCCGCAAAAGCCTCATAACTCAAGTAGGGGGTAGAACCGGGAGTGCCTGCCATTTACACAAAGCACCCGCGTGGAAATCATGTGCGTAAAAGTAAAACTACAAAATTTGACGAGATGGGAGAATAAGCCGCTACAACGTATATCAAAATCAGCTGAACAGACTGAAAAGCGTAAATAATTGCATCGCCGCAAATCACAGCCCATATTTTCTGAAGCTTCCAAAACGGAGTAGGCGAGCCATTTGATTTTCGAACTGAAATTTCTGATTTTCCCCTGTAAATGGTAAGTGCTCAAAGTTTTAACAATTGGCCCCTGTAATCTGTCCAAAATTGGGACCAAGTGACAGCAGAGGCCTGTGAGACACACGCCTATCCCGAGCGACAGTATTTGCGTTTTGGCGGACGAACAACTTATAATTTAAAATGGACCACTCTGCTAAGTCAAAAAAAAAATGTATTTACTTTAAATTAACACAAACTCAAAGTGTTTGTTACATTTTCTTATTCTGAAATTATTCCAACTCGTATAACTACTGAGTTTGTTATTTTAGAGGTACATAATTTCTTGAGTAAAACGCTACTTATGCTTTAGGATTAAAGGATAACTGCTGAAACTTTCCACGAAACTCCTCTTGCTTGCGGTGACTCCCCAAAACTTGCATGTCATTAACTTTAACTTGTTCTAGATTAATACAAGGTCTACGTGTTTATTGCATTTAAGCAGCTTAATTTCGTTAGGAGACTTGCACTGGATCAAAACTTGCACACCCAGCGGCATGTCAAACCCCCGTCAGAGTAGGGGCAATCACAGAAGCAGCCGCCGCTACACCAGCTTGGGCATAGGCCGGAGCAAACATTCCGCTTCTCTCGGCTAGCAACTGCTGGAGCTCCTAAAAAAAGAAAACTATAAGTCAAGCAAAAAAAGCCCGCTTCAAGACGACTGACGAATTGTCAGAGAAAGGGAGGGATTAATAATACTGACACGGTTCCAGATATTGTCAAAGGGGTAAGTTTTTCCCTTTTTAGGCGTTTAATACGTCCTGGTAGCAAACTGCCTGTTAGAAGTGCGATTAATTTTTCTCAAACATCAGCAAACCACTACGGGATATAAAGCGACTTTGTTCCTATTTAACGATAGTATAGCTACTAGCTTACTAGCTTCCCTAGCCTACTGAGGCGACCCTCGTGTTTTGCTTCCACCTTTGAGACGCATAAAATAGCGTCACTCCGTTCTTAGGTTTTTTTCCGGCGGCACCCCAGCTCTAGATCAGAATGGCTCGGGTAAATAACATTGTGAACGAGTCAAAAGGGGCATGAAATGGTTCAAGGATGCCCTACCTCTCGATTGCACTCTCCCACTCTGTCCCCAATACTTCCTGCTTTCAAAATCAAAGATGGCGACTTGACCCAGGAAATACAGACGTAGAATGCGAGTCGGCTGAGATGTACCATTACGAGGAAAGTTTTAGCGCGAGAGGAAAACAACACAAGTGAGCCTACACGCAGGCTAATACTAACGTCACTCTCTCACCCGTAGGCTAGCCTAGCGCTGTCTAATCAGAATGGCACTTTTATTGCTTAATCTCGCCATCATTTTACTTTTTGCGAAGTACATACCCTCAAACTTCGGTCAATTCCTGTTCTAAAAACGCATGTCAAATAATTGCTGTTCAGCGAATCAAATCATACCTTCACTTGGCAGGGCAACCATTGTCATAGCAACAGCCACAAGCAGCAGAATAACCAGACGATTCATGACGAGCTGAAGGGCAAGAATATTTTAGTTTTGTCTTTCAGTAAGTACACACTCTGATTGGTCAATTAAGGGATTTCATGTTCTACTCTTTTATCCACTTGATTGAAACCATCATGTTACTATCCTCAATGTCCGAATCTGTACTGTAAATTGGAAACGCTGTGCCATAAAGTTTTGGATCTACTTAAAAATTCAACGAAAACTTTTATATCTTGTATCACTGGAAGTGGAAACAAAGGCTCGGTGCACACGAGAAACATGAAGTTACCCGAAATTTGTTACTAATTCGAACTCAGACCCATTCAGTGTAGCTTTTTTAGATTTATATTCATATACGAACTAGCACGCTCGCTGGTAGCTACACCAAAGGGCGAAACTTCCAACTTTTTTAAACAACGTACAACGCTATGATGCAGGTTTGAGCCTTTTCTGTGTTTTACCTTCGTGGTACTGCGAGTGTCGTATTGTCTGACTGAACTTCGGCGGCAACATGCGCACGATTTTTTCCGTAACTACATCCGTATTCGAAACTTTTGAACAAACCTATTTTAACTTTTCCACGCGGGAAACAGAATCACTGTTTTCAAAAGAAAGCAAAATTATTGATTAAATTCTGATCTTTTTGCGTCGCAAAGTAAAGAAGGAGCACAACAGGAGGCACTGCCAACTGGGAAAATCTACTCTTGACACTTTTCAAGGATAAGAAAGTGAGGAACTTTCACAAACTCTGGTCCATAAAATAGCCAAAAAAGGGGCTCTACTAATAGAAGGATACGAATTTTTGACACATTTCCAGACATTTTAGGGTGCATGGATCCCCTGTGTATGATCTT